TCCCGTTCCTTCGACCTCGAACCCCGCGCGCTTTGCGTCAGGGATTCGATCCTCCCTCCTCTGTGTACGGTGTTGACCACGCGCTGCGCCGACCCGAGGTTCGGCTGCCACATTGTGCCATCTTCACCTACAACCTGTTTGCTCTACGACGTGGCCAGCTCGACCCCTTCAGTCTCGTCTTTGACCCTCATCGAGTCCAGTCGCCCCTAGCATTGACTGTCTGTTATTAGCTCAACGCCTAGCTGTCCTGACGCGGACAGCAGCACCCCACCCACCACAGCTATAACTTTCGCGATCAGCAATCTTCTGGTTTCAGATTGGCAAATTTGTATGCTCAGCCGTGTCACCATGACAGATGGGCCTCAGAGGGAGCATATAGGCGGAATGCAAAATTTGGGCAGCGATTTGAGCTACAGCTACGAAACGTCATCACCTGGCAGTCCGTCTGAAGGCTTGCTCTCCCTTTCCGCCCGTCTACCACCACCACCACCACGCCCGCCCAGCGTTGCCAGTCAGACACAATCGCGTCGGTCCAGTAGAGCTAGTGCGAGCACCTATGCTGCCAGCCGATACTCGGACCCTCATGATGGCGAATGGCCTCCAGAGCTTCCTCCTCTCTCTTTGGCGACCGAGCTAGCTTCGGTAGCAGCTCACGAAGGTGCCGTAAATGACTGGCCGACCTCTGCCAGTCCCACTCCTACGAATGGCGCTTTTGCGACGTCGAGCCCTACAAGTAGCGCACGTGCATCAAGGAGGAGGAGCAGCGGCGGGGCAAAGAGGCGAAGTAGCAGGACAAGCATGAACATGGACAGTGCAGGTCCCACCATCATGATTCGCGCTGCAACCGGCACCTCGACGCTACCTCTTTCACCCAATCCCTCGTCAGAGCACGGAAGTGCTTCCGCCTTTGGCTGGGAGCATGACCGCCGTGGAAGCAGAGGCGGAGCTGGCGTGGGGTCGGCGATGGGCAATAGGGCAGGTGCTTCACATCAACCGCAACCACTCGCGATGCCTAGCGGACAGCATCTTATCAAGACCAACGCGCCCAATCCCAACCGCATGGCCGCTCGGGAAAAGCTTGCCAAGTGGGGCTTGCTGCCCTTTGTTGTGTTCGCGCTGGAGGTATACAGGACGTTGAAAGCGCTCAGCAGAGAGGTCTTTGTTCCGCTGTTATCGGCTGGCATCGTGAGTTCTGTGCTCTAGCGCACGGGTTTTCTGCTTTGACGCCCTCGGCTGATCTTATTGTGGGTCCACGTGGAACCAGCATCTCATTCTGGGCGCTGTAGCGCTTGTGCCGAATCAGAACCCCAGCCAGTCATTGCGTTCTTCAGGATTAAGTCCAGGCAAGGCGGCGCAGAAGGCTGCCCAGGATACAGCTCCAAGCTCTGAGACATGGAAGCACACCCTCGCCACGTCCTTCCTGCTCTCTCGGCAGCTCGCGATTTCCGCATATCCCGACACACATCCAACCAAGCAGACAGCCTCTCCGAGCGCGCTTGCGAAGCTCGTACCCAAGACGCAGCGATGGCGCAGACCGCTACTGGTGCCTAGACGTACATCGGCTTTGCCTGCGCTTAGCAAGGCCGGTCGAATGATCAGGACCGGAACCACTGTTGGAGTCTTGGCGCTGCTGGTGATGCTCTCTTGGCGCTCGTGGCTACGCTTCACCTCTGCGGCGATCTGTTGCGCGTGGGCAAGTGTGTTGTTCGTTGGCACGGACGAGCAACCTTCGCTGCGCTTTGAAGTGCTCTTCAGAGCCCCGGAGCTGTGGCACTCGCTGCGTGATTGGGATGCTTCGAACGCGGAGCAGAATGCGGGATTTACCAGCCAGCATGCCGACGACTTTGTGCAGGCTGCGTACAATTTCGATCGGAGCATTAATCGGGCACTCAGCGCGGTGCAGGAGGTCGAGTTGGTGGCGAGGGGATACAAGCTGTGAGTGTCGGATGAGCGACTGTACGCAAATTGTGATCTTTGTTTTCTGAAGAGTGGTCGCTGATACCTTTTGGCCACGCTGTACGTGATCGTAGCGCCCATCCTCTGCCTCCCATCACGCGTCTGGAAGCGCGCGACTCTGTTGGGACCGGAACGCCTCGCTCAAACCGCTTGTCAAGCCTAGCGCTCCTGTCTAGCTCCTCTTCCACGGGGAACAATCTGTCGCGCACCGGCTCTTTGCGCAAGGGACAAGAGTCGTCAGGTGCTCCGCAGAATCTTCGTCTCTCGCGTTTACGTCAAGACGTGGCGACGGCGCTTGATAACGTCTGGCGAGCATGCATGCAGACGTCCAGCGAACTGTCGCCTTTGGTTGACCAGCAGGAGCTAGCTGTTCTCCGTCACATGTACTCCTTGAATGAGGGGTCTGAAGATGGCCTGGACGTCTCTTCCAACAATTTAGCATCCTCATTCGATTCTCCGTTTGGACGTACGCACAGCATCGACGTGCACGCTGCAAACGCAGATGGCAGATCGCCCCAAATGTCGGCGCACTCTGCTCCGGCGGGATCGCGATCACGCCCACTGTCCCTCAGCATGACTTCACCGATCCGAAGCTCAGCGAGAAACTCGATCCTAGACCCTTCCATATTCAGCACGCTGAATACACCCGCATCTGCTTCAGCATCTACATCGACATTTGAGGAAACATCCTCACAAGGCCCTAGTGTAACGCCCACTGGCCACAAGAGGCTGTCCCTTCTGTCTGATGGAGGCACGTCAAGCCTTGGGCGCCAATCGAGTCTGCGGCGCGGTCTACCACGTTCGCGTGGCTCAGACACTGATCACTCCGCCACATCTCCAGTGACTGGCAGGCCCACTTCGAGACTGGCGTACGTTAGCGAGAAAGGCGACGATGATGTGCCAAGCGCCGGAGAGACTGCAGCTTTCAAGCGTCTGAGCTACAATAGTACGACATCAGCGTCGACGTCGACTTCACCTTCCTTGGGAGTTCCAAATAGTACCGAATCGGGTGCGCCTGGCCACTCTGCTCCCCCTGTCAGTCAGTCGGCGAGCTGGACACCGGCAACAGGCAGTCGGCCGACGAGCACTACGCTCACCACCACGAGCAACGGCGAAAGCCCCTTGAAGCGCGCAGGCTCTCCTGAACCAGGACGTGTCTCTGTCCACAATCCTCCCGATTCTCGCAGGCTATCGGGCAATCAATGGGCGAATATGTCGGGCTTCTCTCACCTGAGCAGTGCAGCTAGTGCACAACATCAAGGTCCATCCTCCAATCTACACTTGGCTGAATTGAAGGGCGCCTTCGAGCACATGCATTGCACTCGAAAGTTGACTATCTCACACCTTCTTTCACTACGCAGCGGCGCCGAACCGGGCCACGCTCGCTCAAAGCACGTCGGCGACAGCTTGGACGCCCAAGCGCAAGACCCTTGGTCTCTCGCTGAACCGATTGTAGGTCGACTGTGCGCTGAGATGCAATTCCAACAGGAGCGCATTGATCTCGCCGTCCGCGATGCCATGATCGGCTCGACGACCCCGAATTCCAGAGGAGGATCAAGAGGTCAGACTGAAGGAACAGCGCAATCCAGTGGAGATCACACTGGTTTCGAGGACCGCAGTAATGCTTTCGGGCTCTTGCTACGCACGCTGCAGGTCAAGCTCAGAGCGGCTGCAGGCGAGGTTGAAGTTGGCGCTCCAATGCAGTTGCATGGCGTGGAATCTGCATCCAGCGACGAGATTACGCAATCGCCTCTCTCGGGCATGCAGAACGCCAGTCTCACCCAGGTGGAAGCTGCGACCAGGCTTTTTGATGGCATGAGAGATGATCTTCTCGCGCTCTCAGCAGAGTGGGAGTCTGGTCTAAAGATCTTGCGAGCGGAGCAACGACGCAGGCAACAGATCAGCAGCGAAGAGGCAAGCCAGGAGAACAAAGCGCCCACGGAAGCTTCTGCAGCGCAGTCAACCAGCTCCAAGCTGGACTCTCCGCAAGAGGCAGACGAAGATGAGTTGGAAACTGATTTAATGGCACAAGCACGGAGATACGCCGAGTGGGCCGCTCGGAGGGCCAATGAACCTCTTCAGACTGCTGGTGCAGCCTTTCAAGATGGTTTCCCGTCCATTGAATCTGCGCGCAGCGCACAACGGTCCTCTGAGGAAGACGATGTTGCCCATATGCTTGCCACAGCTGGTCCAGAAGGCCTTCCGAGGCCTGGTCCTCACAGCGTGTACGAGGGAGACATTCACTCTGCATTAGACGGCCGGAACCCTCGTGGAGGCTTAGAAGAGGGTGTCAGCAGGGCTGAGCGCATCGAGAGAATTAGGGCGCAGCGTGAAGCTCGCAAGAACACTAACGGCGACTTTCGGATGAGCAGGTCTGGCCCCACTGGCAAGGGAAGCTTTGACGAAATTGTTGCTGTTGATCATATGCCCGAGCTCAAGCAAATGCTGATGGCTCGCGAAGCGGAAGTCAGGGGTCCTCAAGGCTCCTTACAGTCACCTGGAACAGGCCGTCTCATGGACTCGCTAGGCTCCCCATTGGATCTTGAGCGCACATCGCCTGCACAGACTGGTAAATTTCAGTCCTTTTCGGCTGCGGCTGACGGAGATCATCTCGTGCAGAGAAAGGCATGGTCTCCCGCAGCTGGCAGCAGCCAAAGTTCGACCTCACCTTCTAATCCCCAACAAGGCTTCAGGCATACTCCCTCTTCGGAAGCCCGTGCAGCGGCAGCGCAGACTGCAGCGGCGGCACTTGCTAGGAGAAGGTCTGCAGACCTGATAACTCAATTATCTGGCGTGCAAGATCCGGTCTCGCAACCTGCTGCGCATCCCTCTGGCCATGTCGCCCCTCACGTAAACGGCGCTTCTCACGACGAAGTGGTAGCTGGTGGCATGGCGTACTGAAAGCGCTCACTTTGCAATAGATGCCCATCATACCCACCTCCTGCCATCAATTTTTCTCTCGCTTCTTTTTTCTCCTCATGCATGTAATGTATGTACCCTTGTGGCTTCTCAAATGTCGCGCTGTCGCCCATCGGTGCCATGCGCATTTACGATTTCCTTCAACGAATTCTGCGCATCGATCGCGCAATCTGTTTCAAGGCACGTTTGAGTCTTTCCCTCCTTCCAGACTTCAAGGTCATCAGATCATCAAGGCCAGTCAAGTATCGATGCTAAAGTACAATGGAGGTGTGAGTCGAAGCGCTGAAGGTCGGCTCTGAGAAGTGATGTGGCACGACTGCAGCGTATCCTTATCTGGCGGAAACGTTGCGAAGATGCTCAGCGTACGTCTGGACCAATCCTGGCAAGAGCCGAGATTTGGCCATGATCTTGAGAACCTCGGCCAACAATTCGCGCTTGTTGAGACCAAGGATCTGCGGCTTCCACGTTTCTTGCGCGTGCGTTTTGCTGCGGGGACGTCAAGATGGGCGCGCGCATCAGCTATGCTATATCTTGTGCTCAGACTGCTCACATCTGTGCTAGACCAAGAATGGAGCGACTCACTAATAGATTGGACCCAAGAAACTCTTGATGAGCTCCTCAGCCATGTTTCTGATGCCTTCATCGGCCAGCTTCCTTGCGTACTGTTGCAAGAATGACCTGTACTCGAGCGGTGACTCGAGAAGCTCAGCAGCCAACAACCTGCTCTCCAAGTGTCGGAGCGTGCAAGCGATTGATGCTTCCGATTCCGCAGATCCGTTTACGATCAGCGATGGGTACTGCCTGGCAGTATCTGGACTCGATACGCGAAGATCGTTGATGGCTCTCTCGATGTATTTGACAGGTTCTCTGGCCAACGAGCCAGCCAAGGCGTCGTTGTTGCTGGCAGATGCGCCGACCGACTCGCGACCTCTTGCTCTCGCATCCCATGCCGCGCTGCTCACAGCCCACCAACCACTCGAGACGCATGTCCACGCGGCCTGAGCAGCGTTCAGCGTATAAGCGGTCTCGTCGGAGAGAATGAAGACTGGCGAGCCATTGCCGTGCACCCAGAACTTTACCGCATTTGCACCGGTGGGAGATTGGATCAAGCCCTTGACCGAGACGAGCTGACCGTTACTCTCGCCCAATTCTACATTCCATCGACGCAGATCGGCATTGAGATCTACAATGACAAGCGTGTTGCCGCTAGCCTCCGCTCTGAAGACGTGGTGTTCCAGTATGAAGCTCGACACGCGTCGACCTTTCTGGGAATAAATGAGGACCTCTCGATTTTCGAGCGATACTGCAGTGAAGGAAGAGGTGCTGGTAGCAGCAATGACTGGAGAGTGCAGCACGTCTATCCAAGCGATGCCCTTTCCATCATCGACTCTCAACAAAATTTGCGTATCTGAGTAAAATGGTAAGAAGTAAAATGGTAAGAGGCAATCCGAGTAAGTGCAAGGTTCACTCATACAATTGCGGGCGCATGCGCGAGACTCACTGCCACCAATGGAATTATATGCTTCAAAGACGCATCCAGGGCCTTCTCGAGTGTAGAACGAGAGAATGGAAGGCGGATTGAAATGCGACGGTGCAGCGTTTGGGAGTCCAAGGTTCATCACCTGCAAAGGCGGCTTCAAAGAGGACTCTCCGCCAAGTGTGCGTCCCACATCTTTGCCTCGTCGCGTCGAAGCATCAGCATCAAGCAACTCCGCCAACGTCGCAGAGGTGGACGCAAAGGTGTGAGCCGCAGAAAGTTGACCGTATCCGCCCAAGGCAGGGAGCAGCGAAGGTCCGACGTGTTGGAGTGTGCCGTCTATTTGCATTGCGTTGTCGTCACTAGAGCGAAGGGCTGCTTGATAGTCGGAGCCAGGATTCGACCCGCTTCCGACCAACGTTGGCTGAATCCTTCGTCTACCCTTCGCATCTCGGGTTATGTTTTGGACCAAACGTTGAGGTGTGCTACCAGCCGGCGCTGAAGTGCCAGCGTTTCTGCCATTCAATGGTGGCACACCTCTCCTCCTCGGGATTAATACATTGGTACCGTCGGATCCAATGTGCTGAGCAGGAGGGGCAGGCGGTACCTGGTACAGCACTCGCCGGGATTTGCGCCATCCGAAGGAAGCTCGAGCTGTCTCCAATTTTTCCTCTGTCTCTAGAGGAGAGAGAATCTCTTCGTTGAGCATGAAAGCCGCGACGCGACCATCAGCAGAACAGGCGTACAGTGTCAAGCCGTCAGAAGACCTTCAAAGCGGCCAAACAAGGGTCAGTTTGAGTGCTTCACATACATCCGCCCCAGCAAACTCACCAGCTGAGATCCATGGGTTGCCTTTCGAAGACGTGTTTGGATACAAGTAAGGGTCTCTGTTGTCCAGTGATCCAAATGCTTATGCTTTCGTCCAAGGAGCCCAGAGCCAGAACAGTCGCTGGCGAAGGGTTTGGATGAGGGTCTCTGGACTTGAAAAACTTGGGTGAGAACGCAGTGGCGATGACGCTGTTCTCGTGGCCGACGAGGTGTATGTCGCTAGTCCAGCTGCCCCGCTCGGGAGTCGGACGCTCAACAACAGTGGCCACGAATACCGGTCCGGACATTCCATTCGCACAGAGGAGATGAGCTCCATCAGGTGACCAACTTAGTCCGATCCAAGAAGAGCAGGTGATTAGTAGTCTACGGACGCCAGCCGAACAATCTTCACAATCCCATCCAAACTTACCTCGGTCTTGAGAAGAAAATGGTGCTAGGGCTGGTCTTGAAAGGTGCCGTGACGACAACCTCTTCTGTAAAGCCCTTTTCTACATTCCAAATCCTCACACTCTTGTCGTCAGAGGCAGTAGCCAAGAATGCACCAACAGGATCCCAAACCACTCCCTTCACAAAACCCGCGTGTCCGTCGATTTTCTTGATCCGCTCAAAGCTTCCGGGTCCAGGCCTAGGCCCGGACCAAACGTATACTGCGCTGTCGAGTCCCACAGTGGCCAAGTATGCGTCGTCCGTATCGGTGCTCCACGCCAAGTCCACGACGTCCGATTCATGCGCTGCTAGTCGCCGATGAGGTCTCCATGCTTCAATGTTGGCTTCAGCATCCGATGCTCCGAAGACGGAGCCTGACGCTAGACCAGTGGGGTCCAGATCCCAAACCATCGCGATCGTGTCGTCTGATCCCGAAGCCAAGAATCTGCCTGATGCAGACCAGCGCACGACTAGTACGGAGCCTGCCAATGGTGGATGGCAGAAGAAAAGAGCAGTTGAGCTAGGCACGTCACGTCACCCAATTTCAAAGACACTAGATGCCGCGCTCACCGCTGTGACGTGCAAGAGTGCATAGAAGCCTGCTAGCGGCACTGTCACTCTCGACTTTGGGATCGAGTATTGGAGCAGTGGCCCAGACCTTGATCTTGGAGTCTGAATTCGGAGATGAGCGAGACGCAAGGCCAATGCATCGAACGGTATTATACGTGAGATGGGCAATGGTTTGCCGCGGGCGCCATCAACCTTTTTGACTCACCTAAGCCAGCTGTAGCTATTCTGCTACCGTCTGGATGGACATGTATGCTGAATATTGTGACCCTCTTCGTCACCTGCCCATCCCCTTCCATGTCGTGAGACACCCAGTCCGGCAGAACCAACGACATTTCCAGAATTGGTTGCAACGAGAGGGGAGATGGGCGTATGCTTCAAAATGCTCTGCCACACCGAGAACTCGCCGGAAGAAGATGCTCTCCTCCGTGGAGCCGCGGTTTGCAGAGCACAAGGTGGGAAGTGGATGAGTCGGCGACCGAGGGAAAGTGGACTGGAGGTGCTGGCTGGTGTTGAGAGAATGGAGAGCAGGAAACTTTCCCACAAGCACAGACTTGGATCTTTGTGTCTCGGTTGTGCACCTCGAGGTGCGGCTGTGGTGGTTGAATGCAGCTAACGCAAGTACCGTACAGTAGGTGCTACGATGGGTATACTCACAGACCCTTGACTTGCCAATTGGATGCAGGGATGGATGGCATCAAGAAAGGCACGTAGACGCGTATGCGTGCAGCAATCTGACTACTGAATCAAGCTGCAGCAGACGGCGTCAACCAAGAATTCAATCAATCATACGCATGCAGCTATATAGCATCCATCACCCTTTCATTTAGATTGAGCCGCGGCCCGTGTGACCGCGACGCGTTCGTGAGAGAAGGCGCGTGTGACCGCGTGGCTACGTTGCGTGATTGTGATTGTTCAAGTAGGAAAGTCCAACACCCCCGCTTACGTTCGGGTCCATTCATTCACGATTGCTGGTGTTCCTTATACTCAAGTTGACGTGTAGCGCTCCTTGCTTCCTCTTCGTCCTCCCCACTCGCCAGGCTCTTAGACCGAGGCGCAACCAGAACACTATGCCTTGCAACATTTGCTTGAACGAGTACAAGGAGACTGATCCTCCCACCGATCAGCCTGTAGCTCTCAAATGCGGTGAGCAAGTCGGGCGGGTCTCTTTCGCAAGCCTTCGTTATGTCGTACTGAAAATGGCGTCGATCAATGTGCATACCTCTCTTGCAAACAGGTCACATCTTCCACCGAGCATGCATAGAGCAATGGTGCGCCTTGCCCAGTGGCAGCGGACAAGGTGGTCGAAAGCAGTGCTGCGCGTGCAAGTCCCTTTTCCATCCATCAGAGATGGTTACGCTCTACGTGGACAGGGTGGAAGATCTGGCGCCATACCTAGCGCGTCGCAATACGCTGCGCACGATCAGAGCTGAAGCTCGCTTCAAGCGACAAAAGGGCATGCTTCCGACTGCAGATGAAGTTGTTTCGCTGGATGACGAGGCTGCGCCGGTGCTGGAATGCGTTATGGACGAGGAGGAGCAGGACGAGCTGCTGGGATGCCTGATTGATTGGAAAGACGCTTGCACGAGCTACCTCATGGCCATCAATGAAGTTCGAATCACCCGGGCCAACAACGAGAGCATGCTCATGGCCAAGCTGATCAAAGATGCGGGTGCTAGCGAGGAAGCTCAACGTGATTTGAAGGTCAGTTTCTGAGGTCAGCTAATGTGTTCTGATTGCATGCTGACCGTACCTGATCTCGGACGCGCTCACAATAGCGCGGCCTACAATCCCTCAATCAGGTCGCCGCCATGTTCAATTCCAAATTGACATTAGTGCACGAGTCGCAAGCGCACTATGAGGAGGAACGGTCTCGATTGTCGACGATGTTAGAAAACCTTGATCGTCAAGCGCTGGAGATCAAGAAGCGTCGGACAGAAGTCGAGAGGCAAGAATCAGGGCTTAAAACCAAAAGTGCAGCCATCAAGGAATCAGCGCGGAGTCACAAAGCAGATTTGGAGCAGGAAGAGAAGAGGCTCACCAAGAAAAGAGAAGAGCTCGTGTTTGAGGAAGCCGCAATCCGAAAACAAGCGGCGGATGTTCAGATGATGAAAATAAATGCTATGCAGGAGATTGCGGTTCACAAGGCGAAGGCGGACCACGAGGTGGGAGAGATGAGAAAGGCGACGTCATGTATGCAAGACGAAGTCGCCGAGGTCAAGGCAGAGATGCAGAGGGCTGAGCAAGAGAGGAATGCAACGAGAGCAAAGAGCGAATACATTGCGGGCAGCATTGCGTCTTTCAAGACTGCCGCGGCCAAGGCCAAAAAGCAGAGGGAAGAAGATAGGGTAAAGTACGAGCAGAGAATACAGAACCTCGAAAGCACCGTCAAGAAGCTCAAAGCTGAGGTTCGAGCTGCTCATCATCGAGCTGAGCATGGAGGCACCCCGAGCAACCGTTCGTGCACATGTCAGCAAAAAAGCAGTCCCATCTCAACTTTCAAAGGCCCTACGCGAGCAAGCGAAGAAGGGTCGCAGCGCTCAAGTGATGCAGAAATTTCCTATCCCGCAACTCGTGCCATCCTATCGGAAATGGGGTCCAGCCTCAATGGTCGCTCTGTACCTCGACCTTCACACTCTTTTGATCAGTCCACTTCCCTATCTTTGGAAGTTGTACCTGAAGACATCACAGCCGAGCTGTCAGATGAGGACTACCACTTCTTTGGGCTGGGCAAAAGGTCTCGCCCAGAGCCTGTCAAGAAGAGAACGGCAGATACGGCAGTAGGTCCACCCGCCATCTCTTCGAAGCGACCTTCCCTGGTGTTGCAATCGACGATCGCGGTCTCAGAAGGCGCTGATGCTCTAGCACCGCGATCAACCAAGGACGGCAAAACCAGAGCGAGAAGCGGGCCAAACGTGCTGAAGAGGATGGCAGCCCTAAACGAGGATGACGACGGTTTTCTGCCCGAATCCAAGGGGTCGACTTTGACGTCCGAAGGTAGCCCTCACCCGTCCTCGCTGAAACCGAAGAGCGAAGCTGCCCTCAAGAGGTCGGGGCTTGACCCTCAGCATGTCAAGAGTCCAAATGGTCGATCCCAGTCTGATTTCTTTAGTCCGCGCTCGACGACCGTCAGCGCCTGGGCCACGTTTGGCAAAGATGACGACCTTGCGCTCAGAGCTATACGTGGCGGAAAAGCTGTTAGCGGGCCTCGTAATAAGAGCAAACTTCGTTGAGAACTCCGCTGAAAGTTCATCATCGCTCAGCAATCCCTGTTGGATTCCTGTTAAATCATATCACGCCTGACCCGTCCATGTACACTATCACCTGATTTGATGCGGCTGGTTTCAAGCTTGTCACGCGCAAGACCTGCACGAAGCGCTGGACGTGATCTCCCTAGTGAAGCGCGAAAGACGGATGAATTGAAGAAAGCAAGCGAGCAGGGAAAAGTAGCGAATGAGAAAATGCGGGTGCATGACAATTGAGCAACAAAGACATCTCAATACTGTGAAAAGAGCGCAAACAAGAATTGTGAGCTGAGCATTATCAGACGTGCGTCTCAGGTATTCCTTTGCTCACCTGCCCACCCCAGCCAGATTGTTGGCCGTACATGCCGTTGCCCTGAAAGCCGGATCCCATCACACCGCCAGGCGCAAAGCCAGTAGGCTGAGGTCTGAGCGCATCGTATCGCTCTGCAGAGGGATATCGTCACGACAGGACCGGCGAATCAGAGGATGCTCGCATCATCGTACTCGACAACCTCTAAGGACTCACGAGCAGACTGCGGGTTGCTGTTCGAGTCTTGATGAAGGGTCCCTTGCTTCATTTCTGGGTGAATTGAATGGATAAGGATGCGATCAGCGAGGTCTCACGCGCAGAAAAGTCAACCGTTAGCGAACACTCACGACCAAAGATGCTAGCGGCTCCCAGCTTGTCGTTAGGTCCGGTTTGCATGGGCATCTGAATGCCCGTTGCCTGCGGCTGCAGATGCTGCTGCTGTTGCTGATGCTGAGGCATAGCAGTGGTCTGCGGAGCAAGCATACCGCCTCCAAAGCCTGACACATTTGAGATTCCATATTGAGGGTTGTATCCGGTGGGTTGCGACATCATACCAGGGGAAGACATTCCCATGCTCATTCCCACTCCGTAGCCCGTCTGTTGAGGTTGCATGTATCCCGTCTGTTGAGGTTGCTGTTGCATATAGCCCGTCTGCTGAGGCGGCATGTAGCCCGTTTGCTGAGGCTGCATTGCTCCATAACCGTGATTGTACCCAGTCGCTTGTGGGCCAAGGCCGCTGGTGGGCACAAATTGGCCAGTGCCGCTTGTAGGAACGAGCGGCGAGAGCAAGCCTTGATTGCCAGGCACCGGCGCAAGAGGTCCTCTTGGTGCATTGGGATTGTAGCCGCTCAAATAAGAGCCGTTTGCAGGGCTTGCGCCCGGTCTTGGAGACAGACCCGCCGATGGAGGCTTCATAGCAGCAAGCTTGTCGAAGAGCGCAGAGTTGGGATCGGGAGGTGGTGCAGCAGCCGCGGCTGGTGGAGGAGAAACTACTGCAGGTGCTGGAGCAGCAGCAGGAGGAGCGGGGGGTGTGGGCGCAGGTGCTGCCGCTGGCACTGGAGCGGGGGGAGGCGTTGGTGGCACCGAGGCAGGTTTGGACGCAGCAGCAGAGAGCCCGGGGGTGGATGGTTGAGTGCTGGACGGTCGTGGAGTCCAAGCATCATCGTCGAAACCGCCTGCGCCAGTAGGATGCGTCGCCTTGCGCACCACAGTTGGGCTGGCAGTGCTGGCGCGCGTAGGCGGACTGACGGTGCGCGCGAGACCTTCAGCTGCTGCAGCGATGCCAGCAGGATCCACACTGCCCGAGCCATTGGTCTTAGGTGCAGGACGTCCCCGTCGAGTATTGTTCCTCAACGAGCCGTCGGGGCCCGAGAAAAGATTGGGTGCAGGGCTATTCGATGCTCCGCGACGTGCAGACTGCTCATTCTCCTGCAGCTTGCGCGCCATCTCTTCATCCGCGCGAATTTGAGCCGCTTCCTTCGATTCCGTTGAAGGCGCCGCGTCGGGCCTCTTGTATTTGCGCTTGATGAACTTGTCGACTCGGATGATGTCCCCTTCTCGAAGTCCCAAACTGCGAAGTGTACTGCTCTCAATGTCCGCCAAGATGGACTCATCGATGTTGTCCCTTTCGAAAGCCGCTGCGTAGCGAGTGCAGTTGTCCACATCCACTCCTGCAGCAAGGAAGAACTCGAACCAATCAATGTTCCTCTTCGGACCATCTCGTTGTGCTTGCCGACGCCTTTGCTCCCGCTCCCTCTCGCGCTGGCGATCGCGATCTCGCTCTCGCCCAGCAGATCGGGGATCCGTGCGTGTACTAGAGTCTGCTCCTCTCGATGTGCTGGAAGGCGTAAGACGTTTTCCAGTGACATCCTCCAAATACTGAATGTCGGCATTGCTCATCTTCTCAATGGCCACCTCTATGATAACTCCGTTAAGTTTGTGAAGCCTTATCTTGCCTTGATTGAAACCAAGGAATTCAGCTTCGACTTTGAATTGACCTGTCCGATCGACCCAATTCCGCGTGCGAGCAGGATTCGGTCGACTCTTGGCCTGGGCCGAGTCCGTTGGGCGCTCGGGAGCACCCTTTCCGGATGGAACGCTCACATCTCGAGCAGCTCTAGTTGCGCTTGCGGACGATACCGCTGATGGCGCAGCTCTAGGTGGAGCAGGAGCAGGCTGAGCTTTGAGGGCTTCGCGTCTACGCTCCTCTTCCTCGCGTCGCTCCTCCGCCTCTCGCGCCCTTCTTGCCGCAGCCTCCTGCGTCCGTCTGGTCGCCTCCATGGCAGCGGCTGCCTTCTCTTGCTTTTGGCGTTCAGCTTCATCTTGTTGTGTGCTTGACGCAGCCTCATTTCCGTCTTCACCGTCGGAAAGTTCGATGTAGCTGGCAGGAACAACACCTTCCGACCCCGAAGCATTGCGCACTTTCCACCAATCTTCATTTTCACGTTCCACCAGCGTCAACTTCTCGTTCTCTGCAACACTCAGCTCGTCATCGCCTTGGGCCTCAAAATCGTAGAGAGCGATGCACGCTTCTTTCGCTGCGTGCCCGTTCCTAGCTGGTGTCGTTGCAGGAGAAGCGCCAGCTGTCTGGCGAGCGGGTGGCGGGAGCGTCGAAGTGTTGCGTGAAGGAGGTGGCAGTGCAGCTGCCGCGGGTGAAGCAGCAGGACGAGCTGTGCTGGCGATTGGTGGTGGTAGCGACCTGCCTGCTGCTGGCGAGGGCGACTTGACAGTAGCACTGCTGCCATGTGCGATGGCTTTGCTCTTGGACTCTTCCAGCTTCTGTGCGACCTCTTCCCCTTCCGACTTGCTTCCAAACACAAAGCGTATCATGTTGTCTTCCACTCCTGCATCTTCGTGTAGCTCCAAATTGATCTGCTTGCCTTTCGATTCGAGTGCGTGAGACTCGATCAGTAGCACACTGAACTTCTGCACAGGCTGTTTATCGGACTCTGAGGCGAAGAAGAGGTTGCCATTGCCAATGCCCAGGGTTCCCTTGCGCTTCTTTTTCTTGGCGTCGAGGGCCTACCAAGAGGTCAAGAGCGTCAGCCTCGGCGCGCTTTAGAATATCGAGGGCTGCGCTAAAGGAGCTCCTCCAAGCTACTCACTGAGACCCCCCACATCTTGATCTCGTCGCTCTTGTCGCCTGCAGGTGGGGGTACGAAAGTGGCAGGAATCGATTGCGGCTCCTCCTCCACTTCTTCCTCAGCTTCTTCAGGAGCTTGTCCGTCGAAGGTTGCAGCTGCCCCAGCCGATATCGGTGCACCCAGTGAGGTCGCGCCATCCACTGCAGCAACCTGACGAGCAGTAGAGATGGTCGTCAGCGATGAGCGAATCGACACGATGGGCCATGGGCAGGACTCTCGTGCAATGGTGAGTACTCACCTCATCGACGTAATTCTTGGGGACGAAGCCAAGCTTGCTCTGGACGCCCGAGTCCGCTATTCGAACCAGCAGCCAATCATCGTCATCATCTTCGTACACCGACAAGAGCTGATCTTCCTTCATCTCCAGCTCTTCCTCCGTCTGTGGCGAGTAGTCGTACAGAGCTCTGCTCTGCCTCAAAGGTTCCGCCTCCTCCACATAGTTTGCGGGTACCAACCCAATCTTTTCCTCATCCTCTGGACCTGTCTTGAGCTTGGCCTTCCACCATTCGGCGTCGGATGCATCTATGATGTACAGCAAGTCATCCTCTCTCAGGTTCAACTCGTCCTCTGCCGTTGCTGCATAGTCGTACAATGCCTTTGAGAGCGAAACGTAAGCCATACTAGCAATGAGTTTGATGAGGAATTAGTGATCGCGTACGCAGGAATGCGCCAAAGATATCCAGCCGGGGCGCGCTTCCCCGGAGAGGTTTCGGCTCGTTGCGAGGTGCAAACCAAAGGTGAGAAGCACCTGCACTTGCGCTGCTAGAATCCGGATCTGCTAGGCGAGAGTTCCGAGTGCCAAATCCCGAGATTTGAAAGGGCGGGCGACCGTTCGAGGATGGTAAGATGCTGATCTTGTATGGATACGGTGAGTGTAGCGCCAAGCCTCGACAGAGCTCTACTCGTAACAGCACGCAACCGTTCGTTCGCGATGCAGATCGTGATTGTGATTGTTGTGATTGCGATGGGTGAGGATCGCGCAGCCCCAGAAATCACGAATGTGGCGGGGCTGGTCTGAGAGCGCCGCCGCTGTACCCTGCACGCGGGCACAGCATGGCAAGTCTGGCTCCAGTCATCATACTCACGACTTACAGTACGACTGACCTGTTCGCTGCCTGCTGCCTGCTGCTTGCTGCACGCTCGCTTGCTTGCAGCATGGCCCACACGTATCTACAGTCGTGAGCACAGTCCACGGAATATGCGTCCGTCGATCACGGGACGGGCTCACAGCTGTCGGCGCGCGTGGCGGTGGCACGATAGCTCGCCGACCCTGATGCGCTCCCGGCTGCTCTGATGATGATGCTGCATGCATGCCATGCAGACGTTCGAACGCACCGCACCGTTGAGTGGAGTCGCATCACGTGATGGCAGACTTGAACACGCGCGCGAGGCGCGTCTCGCGCGCCCGCCTTTTAGGTGTTCTTTGCTGTTGCATGCTGCTTGCCAGACGAGTTGAGACGGCATATATGCTGTTGTTCTCGTCATGTTGGCGACGCGAGTCCGACTCTGACTTGAAAAGCATCTCTGAAGCGACCAGTACTCGACTTCATCCCAAGTCATGACACCGACCATGGATCAAGTGGATCGTCCTGTTTGATACCTTGGCCAATACTACACAGACCACGAGCACCGGTCTCCGCGTGGCCATAGCAGGCGCATCTTTGTGCCTTGCGTCTCTCGCGCTAGACAGCCTCTCTGTTCGTCCCTCACCCGAGCAACATCCGGCGGCATGATGCAGATGGAGACGCCATCAAGGATCGAACGGCGTCTCGCTGCTCGTCAAGCGCGAGACGAGTCGAGCGGAGCACTGGACTTTTCAGACACTTCGCCAGGCATCGGTAGACGCGCCTCCTTCACCAGCGCGTCCGCATCCAGCTTAAGTCTGGACGACGGAGCAGAGGAGGAGGCGAGGGATGATGTCAGCGATTATCGACATCACACACCCGATGCCGCCACGCCAGTGCCTAGCCGCATGAGAGAACAGGCGACAAAAGGTCCGAGCTTGCAGGCAGCTGTCGCTGCTTCTCAAGCTGCTGGTGCTGATGTCGGCCCTGCCAACGACGATTCCGCGTCTGCATCTCTTACAGCTTCTCAAGGATCGGCAAGGGAGCAAGCTAGAGAGAGCGCCTACGATAGCCCCTCGACATCGCGTCAAGTGCCTCGCGCTTCTGTCTCCATCTCTCGCTCAGCTTCCGATCTCAACTCGCTTCCTCGCACTCCAGCTCGCGAGCCTCAAGCTACTCAGATCAGTTCCACTCCTTACGCGCCATCCATCGCTGGCCGTACGGTGACATCCATGGCAGGCTCTACTCGTGGCAACGGACTTGGACTCCTGCCGAGGTCTGCGGCAGCCGCTAGTTCCGCTGGCGCGTCGACAGCATACGGCTCAGCAAGGGACATTAGCGCGGCTCTTCAACCTAGCGAGGTCCCTGCCAGGTCGAGCGCACGGCCTATGAGCTCTCGAAGCGCACAGATGGAGCGCGTCACTTCTGCCAGCGACCTGGGAGACGAGAGTGGCGCGGAAGGGGCGCTTGTGAATTCTGAAGAATCAGGGGCAACTGGCACCATGCACACGAGCGATATAGCCGTGACGCCCTTTGATCCCAACACTGCTCGAATGCCAGGACAGGAGGATGAGGTGAACGAAAGGCGTGGATCAGCGACTCCTTCTCAATCGTTCGATGAGGAAGACGTGGCTACACCACTCGGCAGTGCCAGGTCTCAGAGCTCGCAATCGGGGAGCGCTAGTCACCACAGCAAGCGTCCGGGCTCGGCTACACCGGGAACGGACAGCATGAACTCGGCGAGAAGAGGGAGAATCGCAGAAGCTGTTGCTGCCGCGGATCCTGATCTCAGCGTTTCCGTCACACGCAGCATTACCTTTGGGGCTAGTCAGAACGGCGACACCCAGGACCAGCAGGATGTGTCTGCTCAAGTGACGCGGGTCAAGGATCGAAGCGAAGAGCCTCGCGCAGTGAGTGCAAGCACGCAGAGAACGACAGAACGGCTACTCACCTCTTCTTGTGCCCCTGCAGCCGTTCAAGCCGATGACGCCGATTGCTAGATTCCAGGCCAGACACCGCCAGGAGAGGGAGCAGACCGTTGACTCGGCCGAAGACGTCGAGCGCGCCCTCGGAAACCTCGACGCTGAAGACTCTGTTAGCACTTCGAAAGGCAACCAACGTAGCTCGCAGCAGCAGAGCGAAGGAGAGACATCGAGACGGAGCGCCGAAAATGAGACGCGAACATCCTTTTCAAGCCCGGCGGCAGGCAAGCTTGACCGACAGCAGCAGAGTGCCAGAGCTCGAACCTCGGCTCCGCCCACACAGGTGGACGAGGCCGATGCGGTCAAGACACCGCGGGTCGCTGGCAGCGCAGCAGATCGAAAACGTATGGCAAACTATCTGCTCTCCACAGTCGCTCGCTCAGCACGCCCGCAGACATTGCGCAAAGTAACTCCTCGTGCACCACTAGGTGCGCAAAACGGCAAGAATCATGCCAAAGCGTCTGCAAGCACTTCATTTGGGGAGAGACGTCGCACTGCTCAGTCTCCCTTGTCGACTCTTGCTTCTCATCTGCAAGCCAATGCGGACGAGGCAGAGTCAATGGTCTCTGAAGTCTCATCGACGAACGACTTGACCGTGCCCGCTCACCGGGCGGGTCCATTCAGGTCCAACACCTCTTTCCCAGGCGTAGGTGTCGCCACTGGAGCCATCTCTGCTGGGGCGGGAACGGTGGATAGTAACAGACTGAATTCGTACTTGAACAAGATAAATGAACAATTCGAGGATGAGAATCTGGGGCTGAGAGGAGAGATCGGCGTGCTCAAAGAGGAGCTCAATGACGCTCTAGCACGGATCGCAGAATATGAACGTGCCGAGACGTCTCCTCGACACACGCAGAGCGATGGAGAGGATGCGAACGACCATTTTCAGGAAGTACCACGTGCCGCACAAGAGCAGATCGAACTACTGCAGCAAGGCCAGCGCGAACTGAACGAAGAGCTCGATCGGCTAGAAGAAGAGAAGGCCCAAATGGAAGAGCAGCTAGCGGCTTACAAAGCTGCAGCCGCATCTGCAAAAGACCACGAAAGAGAAGAGCTGACGCCTGAGCAGGCTTCCGCTCTACGCGCTCAATTGAACTTGCTCGAGGCAGACCTCGCAGATAGACAGCAGGACATCAATGACCTTGAGCTCGAAATGGACAACATCAAGCGTGATTCGGTTGAGCGCATGAAGCGCGCCATGAACGAGGCGGACGTGCTCCAGCAGGAGTCGGAGCAGAGAGCCCTTCAGGAGCGACGCGAAATCGAGGTTCGCGAGGCCGAAGCTAGACAAGAAGCTCAGGAGCTGGCCGAAGATAATCAAGAGCTTCAGGCGCAGTTGGAGCAATGCCAAGAAGAACGTGATGCTCTCAAGCGAGCTGCCGCGAAGCGAGCTCGGGACCTGCATGATGCTGCTCAGAATGATGATTTGGCTCAAGAGTTGGAACAAGCCTATATTGACCTGGATGAGGCGAGAGAAAGAATTGCAGCGACTGATCAGGTCGAGAAGGACGCGGAGCAACTGCGGGACGAGAATAGGGCTTTGAGAAGTCAGCTGGAAGACGCTGTTGCTCGTGAGGAGGAGCTCGAAGGACATATCGGTGCCCTTGAAGATCAGGCGATGACGCAAGAAACAGCGCTCCATGACGCGCATACTGAAGTGCAAGAGCTGCAGGCAGAGCTGGATGCTGCCGATGATCGGGTGCTGGAAGAAGCGGATCGGGTAGAGCAAAAGATGAAGAGCAAAATTTCCGATTTGGTGAGTCGAAAGGGTCCGCGTGTTGCACGGTCCAGAAAATGTATACTTACATTCACTCTACCCACAGGAGATCGAGCTGGAAGAGGAAAGAGGCGAGGTGAATAGCCTGACCACGCGCTTGCGTCGTGCTCAAGAAACGCCCGCTCGCCCCAGCACGGGAACGGTGATGACTCCTGGAAAGGAAGTGCAACTCGAGACCAAGTTCAACGAACGTTTGCAGATCGCAGATCAACATTACAAAGCCGAGCTTGCACTCAAAGATGAGGAAATCGCTCACGTGAAAGAAATTCAAAGGGTCACGGAGGAGCGCGTTGAGATGCTCAAAAAACAGAGCGCTATCATAGAATCTCTGGCGGACCAGTCTAGAGCAGACTTCGACCCGGACAAGACGCCCGTTCCGCGCCAAGTACAGTCGCTTCGAACTGCCCGCACTCCTGCCTCGCCTTTTTCGTTTGTCGGCGTGAGTGCACGCGTGATCTGCTCAAGCCTTTGCGCTTGCATTCGCTGACAGTCACAATGCTACGCAGTCATCGTTCGGAAATTCCACGCTGGGCAACAAGGTGGATCGCGACGAAGCGCAGCGCCTCCAATTGCTTATCGACGAGGGCAATACTAGCATGGACCACAAGCTGGCTTATATGAACGAGCAGGGATTCTCTAACATCGAGTCAAGGAGGCAACTGAACGATGCTAGGCGCGAGATTGCGGAGTTGAAAGCTGAGCTAAGAGCAGTCGGAGTGCCGGAACCTACACGAACGCTGCGAGACCCTTCCATCTCGATGGCAAGCTCGGACGGCACGACTAGGCGTCCCGATTTCAAAGCATTGAGCGAGCAGATCCACGAGCTCAAAGTCACACTGGCTCAAGAGACGCAGCAAGTGCAGAAATTGCGCAGCGAGCGTGATGGGTTTGAAAAAGACAATCGCGCACTGCGCGATATTGCTTCCGCCCTCAACGCCAAGAAGAGCCAGGAGGAGGATGAGCTGAAACGAATCGCTGTACACACGTATGCTCAGACTCAAAAAGTGAGTGGAACACAGAGGCTGGTGACACCGAAGGCAGGGACTGATTTTAGGCATGTCCTTTGCGAAACATAGCGCCTCGATAGGGCATTTCAGACCGTGCAGCAGTACGATCATGACCTACGCGAAGAACGTCAAAGGCTATGCGGCCTGGAAGCAGATTCTCGAGCTTCCAACATGGATAGCGCCCACCTGGAGGTGCAGTTGCGACAGGCCGAGGCTGCACTCCTTGCGCAAGAGCTGAAGCTTCGCGAGAAGCAGGACGCGCACGAGCGCATGCATTCCGATTTGCTAGAGCGCTCGACCATGAGCGCTTCGGCCCCGCTTCAACTACAACGTTTCCAAGCGGACGTGCAGCGCACTGCTGAAGAAGTGGCACATATGAAGAATCAGCGAGCAGCCATGAAGGAGGAACGTCATCAACTGCACATGCGGTATCAGGAAGCCGCACAGGTGAGTGTGCACGTTCGCAGGCAAAGCCTGACCCATACTCACCGCCCTCATCTTCTACACAGCGTCACGAGAACGTGTATGCTGAGCTCGAGGAAGCGCGCGCAGCGGTCAACACCCACGAGATCCAATTGAGCGAGCAAATAAGGACGATCGAGTCGTTGCATGCCCAGCTTCGCGCGACGAATTGGAAGCTTGCGGTGACGGAGGATGCCAATGCACGTCTAGAGCAGCGACGCGATGCCGTTTTCGCTCAGCTCCGTGCGCTCGAGGCGGAGCTGCGTCGCGTCAAGAGCAAGTCTGACGAGTATGGCGCAGATCTTGAGAGGGCCAGACGCGATCAAGAGCTGGACAGAGCACGCGCAGTCGAAATTGCTCAGAAGTCCATCTTCTCCAACTCCAAGGCGCACGACAGGATCAGTGAATTGGAACGCGATTTGGCGATTGCCAGTAAGCGCTTCTCTCAGAATCGTGCGCAGACGTGAGTCGTTTATTGCGTGGCACGGCCGTCATACGCTCGTTCTGGACCTCATCTGATAGATACCTCTTGTGGAATCGTGCAGCGATATCGCATCGCGCGCAGAGCACGCAGCGGAATGCAAAGGACTCATGCTACAGATCCGTTATCTCAAAGCCAAGCTGATGCGCGAAGCAGATCTGCGCGCAGATTTGGCTCATCAGAAGGGTTACTTGGAGCAACTCGTCGGAGGCCTGAAGCTGAATCAGGAAGCGACAAGACGCTTCATTGCCGACATCAGTCGCTCGCGCGGCATCAGACCGCCTGCAATAACGCTCCCCACTCCAAAACAGCGATTTCAGAAGTGCGCACAGGCGGTCATGGCCGTTGTTCGTATGAGACAAATGGCAGCCCGTTGGAAGCAAACTTGCGAAGTCAAGGTTCTTCTCAAGCGCGCTCACCTCGGTGCGAGGCAGAGACGCGCCGATCGCATCGAACGAAAGCCAGATGGCGCTGGCAATCACTTGGCTCATTAGCAACGCGCATGCTTATGCGCTTATCCACCACATCCTGCTTAGTGTACTACCACCACCACCACCACCACCACCACCTTCTCGTACTTCGAGCTTGCTTCGGCTACTTGTGTACCCATTTGCTTCTTAGTCTGAATCACACGCTTGATATATCGTGGTCTCAAAGCCGCTTGGCTATCATTGACGGCTGCGGGCCCTGGCGATCTACAACGATATTCAATTCATACTTTAGAGTGCGCCTCGCCACCAAATCTTCACGATGCATCTTCCTCTTCGTAATTCTCGAGGATGGCAGCATCTTCGTCCGTACCAAGATGACTGTAGTTGCCATAGCTGCCCCGGCCCTGGGGACCCGTATGACGACCTCTCTCGAAGATCCACCGTCGAAGGAATGGTATCTCCTCGGCCAAGTCGAGCGCTTTCATGGCCACCGCCTGCGATACGCCGATGACAAAAGCGGGGACGGAAGCGATGGTGTCCACAAGCTTGCCGTCGACATAGTCGCGAGCGTCTGGCAGATGGATGGCGCTGATGAAACGAACAGAATCGGTTCAGACGTCAGCATCAAGCGCAGTCAAGAAAGTGCCAATTCCTCAAACTTACCCGTAGCCCCGCGATCTGTGACGTTTGAGCCACCAAGAGCCGACCAAGCCTGCCAGAGCAAAGGGTGAAAGAATGACCGTAGACCACCAGAAAAAGCCGTGGCCACGAAGGCTTGCTGGGCAGCTATGCCTCCGTCCTCGGTCCGGGCGATCGCCGCCAATGCAGCTCGAGTAAGGAATCTTGCGGACCGAGGTGCGATCAAAGTAGTAGTCCTCGTTGCCGTAGGCGAGACACTGCTCTTCGACGTGCGGTGGTGGCAGCGTCGTGCCGGGGTACTGCAAGCACCTGCCAGAGCCTTCCGGGTCGAGATAGTGGTTGAACTCGCACTCAAAGTCCGCCGCGGTGCAACTGCAGTTCTTGCCGATCGAATGCGGCTGGACGAGCGTCTCGCCAACAAAACAGTCGGCCCTTGCTCGCCTACGGTAGTAGAACGTCTGCCGTCCGAAGAGACATGGCTCGGCCCTCTCTTCGCTGGGGCTCCACAACTCAAAGTCGTCCGCTTCAGGCTTGGAAGCATCCAATTTACATTTGCGCCTTTGAAGGGCCGAGAAGTCGAGATGTACCGCAACGCTCTGAGGTTGAACACCTTGTTTGATTCCAAGGAGCACAAATTTCCTATGCGTGTCCTCGGGCACTGTTAGGATACCAGTAACGCGAAGGGTCTCGCCGAATTTGTAGCTCTGCCAGCTTTTGCCCTCGTCCAGACTATACAGCACCTCGTTGGTGGGTCGCTCATCATTTGCCAGCAGGATGATCGAGCCTTGATCGCCAAATTCCCACTTGTGCGCATCCTTGTGTACTTCTTCCCAACTGAAGCCACCGTCCCGTGAGATAAAGGTGTCCGAGTCGGCGTAAGGCGCCAGGCTCTTGCCCACATTTCCTACCCCAAGCAGCAAACCAACTGCGGTCGGGCTGCTGAACATTGTGGTGGGATCGTCCCTCTCGGTATAGCCGTGTAGGTGAAGGCTGCAGCCGACCTGATGGCAGTTGTACGGCGCGCCATTGACGTCCGCTCTCGGAGGTGTAAGCGGCTTCCAGCGACCACCATCATTGTGTGTGATGCGCGTTGAAAGAGCTTTGGCGCCAGTCACTGCAGCGTCTTCGGGATTATTGACGACATTGACTAGGGCGATTCCGTCCAGACCAAAGACCTTTTCAAAGTCAGCAAAGCCTGCAGCGTTGCGGTTGACATACTCCAGGCTGAGCGCAAAGTAGGTGCCATTCGAATTGCTCTTGAAGAGATTGCCCCATGCAGACTTCGGTTCGGGATGCGTGGTGACGTGCAAAAAGATTGCGTCTGTCACAGAGTCCAACACGGTGTAGGCGCGCGGGTCATCGATGCGGGTGTTGGGCGGGAATTGCGTCTTGGCAAAAGTGTTTGCGTCCAGCGAAACTTGCAAGCTGATGGACATGGACCTGGCATCATCGATTTTGGCCAGAACGAGGTACTCTTCAAAGTTGGCAAAACCAATGATGTTCTCGAAAAGCACATTCTTTCGAGTGTAGAATTGGTTGCCCAAAATGAGCTGCAGATGATTGTCGTTTCCAAATCCGTGCTGATTGCCCGTCTTTTGAACATAGCTCTCGCACAGAATCGAGGACGAGTCGACGTGGAACTTCGGCGACCTCGCCCATGCGCAATTGCGCACATAACGATCCAGCAAGGTCCAATCGCGGCCTTGATTCAAGGTGTAGTAGGCCGCAGTGTGGCATGTCTGCGAAGTGACCGAGTTGCAGTCTCTTGATCCGATCCAGATCAGCCAATCGGGTCGGTCAGGATGGAAGCGCAAGATGGGAATCCCCAGTCCGTTGGGCGGCAAAGGCGCGGTGAAGTAGTGCCATGTCTTGCCCCCATCAAAAGTGTAGTGGCAACGCTGACCACTGGTGATGAGGTACGCGTAAGTCTTTTCGTAGAGATGCATCGCCAACGTCAAGAAACGCTGCTCCGGATCGTGAGGATCCTTGACCAGCTCTGGCCGCATCCACGAGTAGCCGTCGTTGGGCGAAATCCAAATTGAGCCATCGGACACTTGCATGATCACGTACGAAGAGTCTGCAAACCATGCGCGATCGACAACTGTGCCAGGAAATTCGTGACGAGAGGACAGTACCTGGCCATTTTCGGGTCTGCGAGCCGAGCATTGCTTCGTTACCTTTTGATCTTTCGCGACGCCGCCTTCGCACGTATTGCCTGCTATTTTGCGATACCCTGACGATGCCTTGTAGGTCCGCTTGCTGCCTACACAGTCGCCTTCCGGAATGTGTTCGGGCGATCCATCAGAGACGCACTGACCATTCGGTGCGCGCACGAAGCCAAAGTCGCACTCGAAATCTTCGTCCGTGCACGCGCAAGATTTCATGTGAGGCTCCGGATCATGAAACTTGTCGCCAATGATGCAGTCCGCATCTGCTTTCCTTCGCAGATACCACTGCTTCCTCCCCATCAAGCATCCTGCATTCAGGCCGCCCACATACCACTGCTCCATGTCGCGGTTCTTGTCGCATTTGCGCTTCTTTTGCGCAGCAAAGTCGAGAAACAGCGCGACGTGACGACTATTAGTTCCGGCGTCGAGGCGCGAAAGGCTTCCAATCAACAGGAATTTTTGCGCAGTGTTGTCGGGAATAGTGGTGAGGATCTTTGCTCGCATGCGCACAGGCAGCTTCAGTCGATCCCAAGTCTTGCCGTGATTCCAAGAGTAGAGGACAAAGTCGACGGGCTCCTCATCATTGACCTGTACGAGCAATCCACCATCTCCAAGTTCGTACTTGTGAGCATCGTCGGCAATCTTTCGCCAGGTGTGACCAGCGTCCGTGCTGAGGTAGGTCTGGCAATCTTCGTACGGCAAGAGTCGGTCACCAACGCTGCCCACACCCATCACAAAACCTGGCACGGTAGACGAAAAGACGCGACCGATGTTGTGCAATCGGCTTGCAGAGTAGAGGTGCAAAGAACACGTTTCCGGGTTCTGGCCTTTGCATTTGCCGTCGGGCGCTGACAAAGGTGCCCATCGACTTCCGTCATCCCAAGTGATGCGGGTACGAACCCTATGTTCACCAGGCAAGCCCGCGCGAATATTGGCAAGTGCAGCCCCTTCGATGTTTTCAAGGTGCTCGTAATCGACGATGCCGCGAGCGTTGCGGTTGGTGCCGTCCAGGCTTTGCACAAAGTGAATGCCCTCGGAGTCTGAGGTGAATAGCCTACCCGTGCCGAAGCCGGGATCAAAGACGTCGACCACGAGACTATGAGTTGTGCCTTCAACGATCGTGTATGCGCCCTCCTGCAGTCCGGCGTCATGTGGGAATTTGCCCTTGTGCCAGCTCTCTCCATCCCGTGAGACGAATAGGGCCATCTGATCACCCGCATTGCCCCCTGTACTGCTCGAAATATCTCTCAGGGCCGCCACCAAGTATGAGCCCGAAGGACCGATACCGATGAAGTTTCTCGCATCGCGACCCATGTCCATCTGAACCAAGGTTCTAGACTTGAAGAAATCGTCCGAATAGTACAGCCTCGTAGCACCTGAAACGGCGCGAGAAGTTAGGCGATGATCTCCACGTGAGCGCAGGAGATGACTAGGGTCATCAAGGAGCGAGGAGGTGGATCTGACATGGATATCTCCACCTGTTGGAGAGTCTTCCCATGCAATGCAGTAGATCCGGTCCTGGCGATCAGCGGGAAGACTGAGGGTTGGCGTAGCCTTGGCCCAGATGCAGTGCAAAAGGAACTCGATGAGTGGTTTTGCCGGCGAGGCGAAGCCGTCGAGCGTGTAGTAGGCCTAGAAATGCACAGGAAAACTGCTTGTTAGCAGCGCAAGGACGAGGTGGGAGGGGGAGTTTGACACTTACGACGTCATGGCAGGTGGCGGTACCCCACGGTGTCCAGCCGGAGCACTTCTTCCCAGCATAGATGATCTTCTCCACACCCGAAGAGCTGTCTTGATGGAATTCCAAGGGAGCTCCTGCTCTAGTGGCTGGAGGCAGAGGGACTTCAAAGCTCTGCCACGTCTTTCCCCGATCTATCGTCCGGTGGTGCGTCTTGCCAGCCGTGAGGATGAAGGCCTGGACGCGGAATGACGAGACGACGGATCAGCACGTGCAGGTGCGCTTGCGATGAAGATGGCCTGAACGATGATGGAACATCAACTCACCCTCTTTGGGTCGGTCGGGTGCTCCACGAGCATGGCCGCCTGCCCTCTCGTAGGCGCACCGGGACCTTCGATAATCTTCCAATCCCTTCCCTCATTCTCCGACCTGTACACAGTTCCGTGCACCGCATCATGATACAGCACCGTGCTGGAATCTGGAAAGTAGCTGATCCGAACAGGAAGCGACGAGAAGTGCGTCTTGCTCACGAAAGGTTGAGCTGCTGAGAGGACCAAAGGCAGGATGGCTGCGAGAAGCACAAGGCTCAACTGCGCTATTCTCGCCTTGCTGCGACCCAGCCTTGCGAGGTTGACCATCGTCGTGCGCTGAGCCAGGATCTCCGCCCAGAGCTCCTATCGCGATCAAGCGCTTTGAAAACCGAATCCAAGGGGGCAGCTTGGGATTGTGTATGTTGTGGGCGGGAGGGGAAATTTGGTTGAAATTGTGAATGGAACAAGACGTGAGGTGGTGCTGCTCAGGGCATGGAACATCGCGCAGCTGCAGACCCTCTTCTCAACGGCGCGGTGCGTGCACCTGCGTCCCGCGGGTCGCCTGACTGCGCCCGTAGACATCAAGCGCAGCGCCCGCACCCGCATGGACGCAGTGCCGCATCAATAACAGTCATGCACAATTAAGTCGGCTTTTGTGTAATCGTCAGGTATCAAGTTCTATTTGTGATTTATGCGCTTGTGAGATTTTCATTTGAGCGACTTTCGCGCACGGACGCAGGAGGCTACCTCAGCCAAGAATTGGCTCAGCAGTCACAATTTACGTGATTGGTGATTCATCCACGGCCAGTCCATTTCTTGACTTGCGCACAAACATTATTGATGCAAAATTCAAATTGGAAGACAAAGACTCCGCAAGGTGCATCACAAGTAGTCAATCTTGGAGTGGTCATTATCCACACGGGACGCAGGGCAGGCGCCTCCCTTCGCTTAGCGCTCCTTCTCCATTCGTTGGTCTTTAAAGCATAACAGTCGAAGTGTGAACGTCGCAGAGATTGGGCGCGGCCCGCGTCATCAAAAAGTTTCATGTACCGCTCGGTGTCTCTAATCTGCGCTTTGAGGAAGGCAATAAGTCGAACGCGCTTACGGAGGGTTGTATGCCTGCATAATGAAGGGTGAATGTGAGCCCGAGGTGCACAGCAGCTACGATGTCTATGGAGGGGGCCAACATGCTTGGAGCGATCTGACCGAAGAGCGGGCGGCGCGCGCCGTCGATACGACACCATGTGCGGCCCTTCCTGTCAATAGCGTAGCGCTCAACTCGGAAGGAAATACTTCCACGCGTGTGTCTCCACCAAGGTAATGGTGGGTGTCAAAGTTGAGATTGCACCTTCTCATTGCGCGACGGAGAGCATAAGCTTGCGTACACATCTGAAGCGCAATCCGACAAAGATGCACCTTGTGCTCCTTCTTGCCATCCCAGGAAAAGCAAAGCAGAGGGTAGGGAGCATCCAAGCTAAGCAGCCTTGACCTCTACAGATCCTGCTCCCGTTCTATAGTCATCCCAAGTAGCTCTGATTCTATGCCAGACAGCCGCAGGCGAGTCCAGCGCCGGTCTGATGTCCAGGTGAAACACGGGCTCTCCAGTCTCTGGATCGTCAGGTCCAGAGTAGTAGTCGATGACATATCTCTGATCGCCTTGCGGTGATGATGCCGTAGAGGCAGAGTTAGCCGACTTGAGCGATGATCTAACGACCCAATCGTGCCGGTCGAACGGCGGCTCGGAGCTGGACACAGGCGGGTTGCGCATTCAGATAAGCCATCCCTCAGAAATCATGCGCGTCACTCATAGCTGCTCACCTATAAGTGTTGGGTGCGATGGCGCCGAGGTACGAGTAGAATCTAGCTTTGGGTGACAAGGTGCCTGGACGCCCCTGAAACTTGACGAGGGATGTGGACTTGGAATCTCTGCAGCCATATCGTCGAACAGTGATCAGTAAATTGTGAAGCGAGGGCATCCGCGCCAACAAGTCATATGCGCATTCTGCTCACCTGCCGCACTTTTCTTCCCACTCCAGCACTTGTTTCCAGGCTTCCTCGTTCAAGAAGTTGTGTACCAACACCATCATCTCGACGTGTTCCTCTGGCGTTTCCCAGCCTTTTCGCACCAGCGCGTTGTAGAATTGCTGTGGCGAAGGGTATTCCCAGTTGCTCGCTTGCGCTTCCTTGCTTGACAATCCGCCTGTGGCATCGTGGATGACGGGGCAGCTCGACGCGCCGTCCGAGGTGGAAGCAGGCGCGTCGTAAGGAGAAGCACCCGCTGGAGCAGATGATTGACTTCGAGGTATTGAGCTGACTGTGCGCTCGGTCGATAGCTCCACAGTCTGCTTGACCGACTCCCGCGCCTGAGAGAGAAAAGGCATGTAGTTGAGCGGATTCAAGCTCGAAGTCAGACTCTTGCCACCGGAGGCAGAGGTGGAGGCGTGCGACTCATCGGCAGACGCTGGCGTCGGCGCCGACGACCTGCTCGCAGCTGAGAATGGCGACGACCCCTTCGAATCTGACCCGGCCTTGTGCATTGGACAGCCAGCAGGTATCTCTCCTGTAGCGTTTGCAACGGCGCTCTTGGCATGCGCACTGGTCCTTGACGCGCTTGGCGGCTTTGTTCTTGAAGGTCCCGCGCCACTTTTGCGTCCAAGGGGAACGTAGTTGGGACTCCAGACATCTCGGGGCGATGCCCCTGCTGCTACACGAGACTGCAGCAGCTCGAAAATCGCCATCTGGTTGGATGCTGGACCGGCCAAGGCTGGATGTGGAGGCGGTGCTGGAGACATTTTGAGGTGCGCTAAAGGAGCTTCCGGATGGGTCGTCTTGGCTGAACAAAGCTGCTTCTTCCCAAGATCGCCTGCGCCCTGAATAGTGGGTGCGCAAGAGGAAGAACTGATAGGGTGTGTGACTGTATGCTGCGAGATGTTGTGAGGTGCAGTCAACACTCACTGGTGAGGCTGTGAACTTTTTCCTCTTTTTGCTGATAAATCCAACAACAAAAGGGCGCCGCCGCATCCTGTACATGTGCCCGTCACCTAGAGACGGGTCGCGCCGGAATCAAGCGGCGCAAGACGGCCGACCCACGCCGAGCGGAGACGACACGTGCTCTGCATGGTGACGGGGGCCTGTCTTGCTGCTCATGCGCGCGGCCAAAGAGCTGCGCGGTGTTGCCTCCACCACCACCATAGCCCCAATCAAAGTCAAGATCAGCGACGCACCAGCATGTCACGAGCTAGCCTCGATCACGCTCACTTTCTATTCTGAAGTCGTCAGTCTATCGCAAGACGCGAACGGAAAGCACTCTCGTGAGGTGTGTCCCATTCATCTTCAACACCCCTTGCAGTCCAGCCTTTACGAGACAGCTTTGAGCGCCGATATCAAACTCGTGACAACTGGTTAGATGGCGTGGTTCAGCAATCAATGGTCGCGACTACAAAATGCGGTCAACGACACGTTTGATCCCATAGGCGACGGCACATTTTCACCTTATGCTCAGCATAATGATCCGGGTCAAGCCTCGGCGAGTGGGATGGCTGGTGGCAGCTCGGGCAGGACTCCGTTTGGTAGAGCGAACTCTAGCACTACGGATGGGGCACCTATCAAGCACATCAATGTAGCGTGGGGCAAGCAAAGGTCAGTGTCCAGGCAGATCCGAGAGCAAACATACAGGCATTGTGTGCTAGCGCGCACATGGAAGCTCGAGATGTGGCGCAATGGGTGCAAATAATGCTGCTCGCTGGCGTTGGAGTGCTGGATCCCAGTCCTTGGTTGCGCCCAAGCGACCTCAAATCGCCCAAGCTGATGCCTCCGGTCGATTGAAGCTGACACACTCGCGCTTTCACTTCGCCTATGCACAAGTCAGGTTATCCATCAACCTGCCACCAAGCCCACCACCAACGCTGGGCATTCTGAAGGCGCACATCGCCACTCAAACATCCGTACCCTACGACAACATCAAGCTGATATCGTCGGGGTTCATTCTTCGTGACGACCGAGCCGCCTTGTCCTCTTTTGGCCTCAAAGATGGATCCAAGCTGACCCTGGTAGGCTCGACAGACGGCGCTCCTCCCATCGGAGATCGACCGGGTGGGAAAGCACCTCCTCCACCTCCTCCAAAAGAAGAGCAAGAACCGGAGAGCGAATCTTCGTTAATTTCTCGCATAGAGACGATCCTGGACGGTGTGAGGAGGGACTTGGGACCGGATATAGAGGCTTTCTGCGCCGGTCTGCAGCCACCCAGTTCTCCCGCCGAGAGCAGATCCAAGACGCAGAAAAGATTGAGCGAGTTGCTGCTGAGGGCTTTGTTGGCTTTGGACAGCGTCGCTGTCACTGGTGAAGAGAGCAGGTTGAAGAGAAAGGAAGCTGTGAAAGAGGTTCAGTCTAGATTGGACGAAGTGGACAGGGCATGGGCCGAGAGCAAGATGGCCGAGATGGAGAAGAGCAAGGAGGCATAGAGTGTGTTCCGAAGTCGAATTCATATCTGCTACTGCTGCCGTTCCTGACCCACGAGTATGAAGCCCGGCTTTTCGCAATATCACGGGCCCACAAGCTGCTCTTGCGTCTTTCAGTCAAGGAAACAAGTGTCGGGTTGTGTTTCTCTACCGAGAATTCAAGCATGTTTCTTGGACATCTATCATCACGCTTGTGATGGCGAGGACAAGGTGGGTATGAAGAGCGATGAGTCATTGAAGTGACTTTGAAACGAGGGTGCGAAGAGGGAGGAGGAGGGAGTGCGCTTCTTGGGCTTCAACGTTTTCTCTGCCTACGACGGGGCACAATCATGGATTATCATTGTTCGTACAGCGAAGGCCTCGGTCTGACACTAATCGTCGCGCGAGCAAAAACCAGCATCGGCATCGGCATCGGCATCAGCGTCGTGCTGCGCCGCAATGGGCGTAGGAGGTACAGCAGTCAATACGCTGCTGCTCCATTCATCACTGGGCGTGCAGGAGGTAGTTGTGCACTTTGCATGTCTGCATGGAGCAGTCGCTCTTCGTTCCAGGATCTGGAACGAGGGCGAAGGAGCAGAAGCAGAAGGAGAGACGGAAAAGCCGGGAGATGTGAATGCGAAGGTGGAAAGCCGATGTTGGGAAGAGAAGGTGTTTGTGGGGAAACGACGGCCGAGAGAGCTAAATGAATTGGCCCTTTTAGCTGCGGGCGCAGTAGCGGTGGTGTGTATGTTGAGGCCGAGGTGAGATGGGCTTTCGGAAGGCTGGAATGGGAATGGAGCACTGGTCAAGGAGGACCATTGTTCCAGGCCTCCTCTATTCATGCGCAGCAGGCGCATATTTAGGAAATTGGAAGACGAAGAGTCTGAGACATTCTTATTGGCATAGGCTCCCGCCCCCCAAGTCGAGCCCATCAGTGGCGGTGGCACGTCGTGCTCTGCTCTTAAAGCCGCCCTGTGTGGCAAAGTGGAGCTGCTACGCAGTCCTTCGCACCTTGCGCGTGGTGTAATGGGGCTAGAGATGGGGCAGTGATCTTGATAGCGAAGTGTAGATTCGCTATCAAAGGTATCGCTGTCAGCTTTGTGAATGTCGGCTAGCGGGAAAGGTCGCCAATTCTCGGTGCCTGGAGGAGCAGAGATGAGTCGGTGACCATCCTCGAAAGTCGTAGGACTCGAGTCAGTGTTCGCAGCGTCTTGCGCATGGTCGAAAGACGAGAGAGAGGCAGGGGACGAGGCTGAGGCAACTCCATTGCGAACCGTCAAGCGCCGGACGGGTGTAGTGCAATGAGTCGACGTTCGCAAAAGCGGTTCCGAAAAGGTTCGAGAAGCGTGTTGTTCTTTGAGAACCAGCGACAGGGAAGGGCGTTGGCGGCGCATCGCTTGGGCTTTGACGTCGATGCTCCGTACGATAGGTCCCTTTGACAAAGCACCGGGCAGGCTATCGTGCGCAAGTGCGCAGACACTGCCGTGCACCTGCTCTTCGAACTGGCATGATGAGCTCGAGAAACTGGTCGGCCCTGTTGATGTGAGACTTTGGGTGTCGGCGTTGTCGCAAACGTCGAGCAGCAGGCTCAATGGACGAGGTCCGTTGCCGATGTATAGGGACGGCGTTTTGGTCGTCGGAAGGTGGTCTGGCATTGGCGGCTCACCAAGCGGAGACTGACACAGAGCGCGCGGCTCATCGAGTTCGATGGCGTCGCGCGCCTGACGTGGCGTCGTCGTCCGAGTAGGTTGACCCTTCTGGCCACTCGCTTGGGATGCTCGTCTTGCTGCCTGACGCATAGTTGCACGATCTGAAACAAACCAGGGCATCTTCTTGCTGAGTGTGCGCAAGAGACCAATACCTTTGGACGGGGCGGCGGTGGAGCTCGGCAGAGCTGGAGATGCAGTTTCAAGCCAGTCGGCGTCTCGATGAAGAAGAGCAACAGCGTCTTTGCAACTGCAGGCATCCCCATCAATGGACACGCTAGCAGAATGAGGTGGCTCTGACTTTTCGTTTGAAGGTACATCCGTCTTGAACGCTACACGGCTCCTTGTGCACTGAACGCACGGTACGTGCGTTTGGGTACGCGGATGCGGCTCGCCCTATAGGGGCGGTGTCTGCATCAGCACCAGACTTGACGCTGTCGGCAACTCTTGCCTTCTGGCTCACCTTGGCAATGTAATCGTCTCGGAGAAACGTGTCATGCTTCTCATCTAGAGATAGCGGACTGTTCTGGGCCGACCAATTGCACGTAGTCCAACTATCCTTCGCTTCGGAAAAAGCGAAATGCCAATTAGCGAGCAAGTCTAGTCCCTTTCTAGGAGATTTGGACGCCATTGGAAGTCGAGGCGCCAGGGCGACTCGACGTGTCTTTACTTGACATTTTCGAAAAGTGCCTGTGAAAGTGCGCACAAGCTCGACGGGATTGCGAGTGTTAGTGTGCGAGGACCAAGCGTAGTTGGTGCTGCGGCTACAGTCGTGCTCGTCAACGTTCCACTCTAGCGATGTGGTTTTGGTCGAGGGAGACACGTCGTGGGGCTCGTAGGTGGGCTCCATAGCTGCGAGCACGGGAACCATAAGGCTGCGCTCCTTGAACACCTGTTCTGGCTCGAGGGTGGAGTCTATAGCGAGGTCCGATCGGCAAAGGTAAGATGGGGAGAGGCACTGGAATGGGAGCCGCATGGTGGTGGAGAAGAGTTGCGCTTCAGTTGGACGCAGAAGGGCGCACAGATGTTTGTCGGCTTGGTCCGGAGTGGCTGTCGACAAAGTTCTGACAGGTGGTCTTCGAGTGAGCGGTCAAGAGATGGAGGGGGAAAGCGAGCAGAGGTACAGTAGACGCTCGTTTATAAGCACCAATTGACTCGTACTGCGGCTTTGCGATTGTCTGCCCATGTAGCCGCCATTCCACAAGGGCGATGCGCTGCAAAGCGCAGCAACCGTCCGTCAACGAACTTCCGTTGCAGGGCAGACCAAGGGCAAGAATGCGCTTCGCCCGCCTTGGATGTAGTTCCTTGTGTACAGCGTACGCTACGATGTGGATATGGGCACCTTTCTCAATCGCCACTCCAGTCAAGCGGGCGGGGATACAGCGCAAGTCGACTCGCACTCGCTTCATCATGTTTGGGGCCGACGCTCCATCCCGCCGCTCGGCTGCTGACGCGTGCAAAGTGTTGGTCTGCTCCACCCCGCCTGCTCAACGCTACGCCACGCCACGCCTACGCAAGGTACCGGAGCGAAACGTGCCGCCATATCGTGTGCGAGGGGGCTGGCGCGGAGGTTCTTGACCGTTGCATGGGATTCAGCACCTCATTTTTGATAGAATGAATGGTGAATATGTATCAAGGAGCTCCAGGCGCGCGGCAGGACGCGGCCTCGACAACGACCCGTCCGCCACGGGTCGCCCAGCAGTCCCAAGCTCGATTGATCCTCCCTTTGGCTCAAGAAGCGGGATTCATATGAGCTCCGAGTGCTTGCAAACGCCCGCAATATCGAGATGAAACGAAGTCCGATATGAACGATCGAGTAGCAGCGCCCAGGCGCGTAGTTTGCTTGACCCTCTCTTCGGTAGCGACCGTGATCTAATTTGACAGGGATCGAGCTTCAACCTTCAGTCTCGATACTGGACCCTGGAAAGAGGTGAGCCTTGAACACTCGGCAGCATGACCAAGCTTTGAGTCTGGGTCGTGAGTTTTGGTGAGGCACTTGGACAGCTTGCCACGCACTGCGCGTTCTCGAGGGAGAGGGGAGCGTCTCTGCGCCTCTGAACTATGTTTCATGACGGACGTACTTCCTGTCTTGTACCGAAGCAAGGTCCAGTGCACGGTCCTCGCTGTCGTCCAGAGAAAGCGAAAGTTGCTTCCTGCGTTGCGGAATCATGCAATGAGGAACAACGAAATGCAGATTTTGGTCGGGAGTCCTTGGCCGCGCTTCACTTGCCATGCGACGCGGGCCTTGTCGTTTGTGCGTTGCCCAAAGACTCACAACACAATCACGTTGCGCGCCGATGGGGTGGCGGGGAAAGCATGTTGGTCGCCATGCATCGATTTGTGAACGTGCGAAGGGGCATTCCACCCGCAGTCCTTTGCAGAGTGCAAACTTCAAACAGCGGCTCGTTCGCAGCAAGAAGTGCCCTGTAACTCCACATTTCTGATTGAGGTTGCAGTTGCGAATAATGAAATGAGCTTGGTGATGGATCAACATCCAGCAACGCTGCGCCTCATCAATTGCGGGGTCCGCCACAATCCATCCGATGCAACAGCGATAAAGCATTGCGGTGATGCTGAGCTTGTGAATGTACTAAGCAGGCTGCCTTGCCCAGAGTGAAGCGTCGCGGCCTCCTGTTGCGATGGCTACTTTAGGCTCTTTCGAGGGTGCCATCTTCATGAGCACGCGGCACAGACCCCTTTCATCTTCACGATGCGTGATTGTCTCGAATGATCTGAGGCCTTGGACTGCTGGCTATGCGGCACGGCGTCTGCTTAGTTGAAGAGGCCTCGAAATCTGTCCGATCACCGCGCCGTGCTCGACGGATCCGCGTATGGAGATGATCGAATGCCAACATCCATGGCGTGTATTTTGCGTGTACTTGCGCATGGGTGACAAATCATGAGCGAGTGGCAAAGACGCACGAGCAATTAAGTCGGTCCGAGAATCTGCCGGGGCCTCTGTAAGCGCCAGAGCTAGAGCTTGGAGTCAGAGAAGGTTCGCCCTCGATCTGTCCACCCCTATAGAAGACCTGGGCAGTATGGCGTCTGGGTGCTTGGGAGACGTGAGAGTCTCAAGCATGTCTTGTAGGTCCCTCGTCATCGCCACCGTCCCGCTATCAGACCAATATCGACGTCAACACTTGAGCGGTCGAGCCCTGTCCCTCGATCCTGCGAAGTTTCTCTAGTGCAACAGCACGTCTCATCTTCAGAAGTCCGCTTGAGCCTTGTCGAAGACCTGCAGACGCTTCAAGACTTGGGTGAAGCTATGAAAAGGCGAAAGTCGTGAGTGGCTTGACAATGTCAGACCGTCGCTGGCAAGCTGCGTCTCAGGTGAGACGCGTCGGACACACCGTCAAGACTTATTGTTGGTGTCTACAGCTAGCTCACCGCTCGCTGTTGTTCCTCTGTCAATCGGGCGCAGCAGTCGTATTGCTGGGCCGGCTTGCGTAGTTAGACCATTCGCAAGTCTGCATGATTTCCGATCTGAGCAAGTTCGCTCGCATGATCTTTTCGCTGAAGCGAATACCCATGCTTGGCGTCGACGCGCAGGTGGGCAAGAGCTCGAAACGGACCGGTGGGAAGGCTGTGCTGTGCGCACTCGTGACTGATGCGATTAAGCACCCGCGGAGAGTCACGGTCGTGCGCATCATCAGCAACGTTACGCAAGGCGGTCGGTCTGATCGATCTTTGACCTTCTGCATCCACGATGTAGCTGTGTGGGTGGCAGCTGGTGGACGGATGAACAGAAAGAGGCTAGCCAACCCTTTTCCAGTCTGTACGGTAAGCATGGCAGGGGGACCCCCGCACTCTCACGTGGGAAGTCGGTTAGTTCGTTCGGTTTCCCCGTTTCCCGCCCGGAGGATTCGCGCGCGCGTGCGCAGGTGCAACTTGCTTGTCGCGCTTCCGCTCATCGTGCTCTTGTAGCGCCTACCTGCAGGCAGACAGGTTGCTCGCCAAGATAAAGGAGCCCCTAAGCAGCAGCTTTCGTGTCTGAGGGGTCGTGTGAACGTGCTCAAGCATGCATGCCGCTTGCCGATCAGCTATAGTCGCCCATGCAGCAGGGATTGGATGCAGGCATGGAGAATCACTCGTTCCAGAATCACGAATCACAATTGTGCCTGTGTGAATGGACACGAGACATGTCTCGCTCTTGGGGGCGGGCGCTGGACGCTGGACTGAGCAGTTGGCGTCTCCAGACGTGGATTTGGTCGGCATCGAGGGGACTCGTGTAGCACCACCACCCGCACCTCATTACTTCAAGCATCCGGCACACCTCCTCAATTCAGAGGAGCGAACACTGCTAGAGCTTGACGTGACGTGCGCGCTGCCTTGCTCGAGGAGTCCAGCCTTCTGTCTCGTGCTATAAAGAGGTTCAAAAGACGCTTGGCCACGCAGTCATCCCTGCAAGCTCTGCACTCCCCATCCATCGAGATCATGCCGGCCCTTTCTAAATTTTCCCTTTTTAAAAACAAGGCTGCTGAGAATGGCACGCACTCCGTTGATACTGGCGAGCAGGCCGCCAACAATGGTCGGCGGGTGGGACTAGAGGATCCGTCGGATGTCCGTCTAAAGGACGATCCCAACATCTTTCCGACTGGTCGACCTGATCACTCCAAAGCGCCATTAGCAGTGTCCAGCGCTACAGCGGGAGGCTCGAGCGCTGCTGCAAAGGCTACTGAGCTGGCAGACGTCGACGCTCAGCAACAACTGCAGTACCCTGCGCCCGTTGGGCCGCCTTCTACAACACTGCTTGACCCTGTCGGCAAGGCTTTCATAGATCCCAGACTGTATGGAGGGATGAGCGTCAACAAGAGCAATGGCGATTTGGGCGAACCTTTGAATGTCATTGGTGAGTAGACTGCCACACCATTGCGGCACGCCATCTGCGATCCGTCTTGAGCCTTTTTCACCGCCAGTCTCATCTCTGACACCGGCACTTTTTGCACTTTGGAATTACAGTCTCGGCTCTGTCGTCCCCAGAGATTCTGACTCGAAAAGGTCTGCAGCAATACCTCCGTTCGTTGGATCTGGACATGGAATGTTTCGGACTGCACTCTGGTGCTCTGCAAAAGGCTAATTTAGACCCTCGAGGATTCTCCGACGAGCTCTTCCTCTACCGCGAAGTCTACACACCTCTGGACCATCTCTTTGGTACGTGCGTGGAAAGCTTGATTGGCGGCAACCATATCCGCGTTTGGCAGCAACAAGGTACCGGAGCTTGGTTCTTTGCTGCGAGCGAGGAAGAAAATGTGAGCAAACATCACGAGATCATTCCGAATGGCTACAATCTGGGCAGAGACAAGGTGGTGGGTCTCAGTCAAAAGAACAAGAATGGTATCACGTAAGTTGATCGGCTTCTCCTCGTCTAGCTGCTGCGCCCGCTCACCACTCGAGGCACGGCGATCCGATTACCGATTCGCATCTCAGCTCGTGGTTCTTCACTCGGTATCAGACCAAGGTGCAATGGCTGGACGGTCTAATGCCTGCAGGTGCTCAAGGTATCAACCATGACATTGCCGTGCGTCGTCAACTTGTCTTGCGAAGTCTGCGAGAGATGGTTGACGTCTCTCTCTGCACACTACAGGTGGACGGCCGAACAGCTCTGCTGACGATCAAGATTCTCAATTCTGACGACAAGGCCGCGCTCAAGAAGACCTCTGCTCAGCTCAAAGCTGCAGAGAAGGAGCACAAGAGGATCAGCAAGCGTCTGAGTAAACAGTCTCCAGATGCTGTCGTCCCTGTTGCGTCGTCAGCCAACGAAGCAGGGAACGATGCTTTTGCGGATGCGGCTCAACCGAGTGGATTGGCGCAGGCGTCGACGAACAAGCCTGCTGTGGCGACCAAAAACGCTGCCAAGTGGCTCAAGCGTCTCAGCACGAGCGCAAAGAGACGGTCGAGGCAGGACACACCTGCAGTCGAGACTGCGCAAGCCGCACCGGCGATTGCAGCAGCCTGAAGACAAGAACCAGTCGGCCTGTCTGTACCCTGACGAGGTGACATCACGTTCCTGAGCATGATTGCAAGGATTCAGCGCCACGAGACGTAGACTTGATGAACTCTCACGACTCTCCATTCACGATTTATGCACCTTGACGACGCCTTTGCCACGCACCGCGATATGTTCACAACTTGTCCGTCGGAGCGTACGTAGACTGCTTCTTCTGCACCGTTCCGCAATTCGATACCATCTGCAAGAGCTTGCATTGCTGATCGAGTTGACCTGCGTTGACTTGTGTTGTGCTGGCTTTGCTGAAGAGCTGCAGTCACTCCTGCCTGCCTGCCTCTAAGCCACGAGTTGCATTCGTGATTGCGCTTACTGTTGGCTGCGAACGTCTCAAAGTCGGCGCGCGGTTCAAGCTTTCTGATCCTGATGGTCTTCAACTCCAACTAAGAGCCATCTCTGCAGCTCCGGACGCAGCGCTTTTCATTCATTCACACAGCTTTCGAAGCGACAGTGATTGGGTTGCGCTACGCTTTGACACACGCGATCGAGGCGAGGTCCTTGATTGGCCATCTCGAAAATCCAGCTCACGCGAGTCACGACTCGCATGACGGCGACCGTGACGGCTCTTGGTAGTCAGAGTGTGATGAGTGTGTGAGTGGCGATGGAACGGTGAGTGATGAGTGTGAGTATGGCACGACTCACACGACTCACGTTTGTTTCATTGCGCCCAGCAATGTCCACCGCATTACCCCACCCCGTACCTCCACATGCATCGATCGATGATGGCGGTGGCGCGTCGCGTGCCCGCTCGCAGCGGAGCGTATTCGTGATTCGTGATTCGTGATCCGCGCGCCGCTCGGCCGCTCGGCCGTTTCGCTCGCTTGCCCGACGCTGCTGCGTATCGCTACTCGTGACTCGTGACTCGTGACTCGTGACTCGTGACTGTGCATGCGGGTGCGGCAGGCTTAATTCAACCCCACACATGCGCTCGAGCCACTCACACTGGGCGCGGGCTCATGTCACATTCATCAGTCAGTCGTGAGTCTCGAGCGAATCACGAATGCACAAATGGTGGGTGAATGGTGGACGGTGAAGGTTCTAATTGCCGACGACGAGGCGCTTCACAAACTCACACTCCATCATCTGTCTGTCGTCTAAGCTGCTCATCCACGTATCAGGCTAGTAATCCTTCAAGGTGTATGACCCTGCTCTGCTGCTAAAGGCACAGTCGTGCCAAGCGAGACGAAAACCGCTTCGTGACTTTGACCTTGACAAAAGTCTGCGCAAGCGACAAGCACCGAGCCGCACCAAGCATTCAGACATTTCAGTACCGCAAGCCAGCCAGCCGTCTCTCTCTCGAGCTTCTTTACGGTGGCTGACGTCGCAGCCCGCACGACAAGGATGCACCCTCAGAACGCCATTCATCGGCAGAGCTTGGAGGCCAGGGATGACTTTTGGCTCAAGGCGTCCAAAGATATTTCATGGCACTTGCCGCCCACAATTGCTTACGGCAAGACTGATCTTTCGCGCGAGACTGCGCCCTACGCTCAAGGCAACACCTGGTTCCCCAATGCTCAGCGTGAGTTCGAGCGTTCGTATCACGTTGATGGCGCTGCTGCTCACGCAGTCGCTCCCAATGCCACATCTTTCCCCCGCCTACCTTCTCCTGAACCCCATCGCAAAGTCAATACGTGCTTCAATGCGCTGGACAGGCACGTCTATCCACCACCTTACGCTGGCGCTCCACCTCTTACGCCCAGCCCTCACACTCCACATTTGGCCATCGACTCTGCTCTTTCGCAGCGCATAGCTTTCCACCACGTCTCGCCTTTGCCCTTTCAGAAACAACAGTATCGAGCCATCACTTATGGCGCTGCTTTGGAGTACGTCCAGACCCTTGCCGGGGTGCTCAAGAGCAAAGGCCTCAAGAAGGGCGATACTGTAAGTGAAGGGATGGTATTGCCGCATGACAGCGCGCCGACGAGTTCTTCTGACATCCAATCCCACGGCTCCCAGGTCATCATCTACATGCCGATGATCCCAGAGACTGCGCTAGCCATGCTGGCGTGCGCGAGGCTAGGCGCTATCCATTCCGTCGTCTTTGGCGGCTTTGCAGCTCGAGAGCTAGCCAAGCGTATCGACGACAGTCGATGCAAGCTGGTTCTCTCCGCTTCTTGCGGGCTGGAGCCACGAGGACCCGTGGAGTACAAACCTCTGGTAGACGCAGCTTTCGGCCACTGCAAGCACAAACCTCAAGGTTTGCTCTTCTTGGCCAGAAACACCATCTCTGGGCATGAGCCACCGCATATCGATGCTCGAGGCAAGGCGGGAGTACCAGAGTGGGATTGGGAAGAGGAGCTGAGGCTAACGAGGCAAGGTGTGGACGGAAGACACAAGTGCTGGTCTTGCGTACCTGTAGCTTCAGAGGAGCCCGTCTACATTCTATATACGTGAGTCGCGCGCCAAGCACTTTCTTGACAGAGTCTTGTTGGAGTCCGCTCACGCGCCATGAGACTTGTGCGTTCGCAGTTCCGGAACAACCGGTACTCCAAAGGGAGTGACCAGATTGACGGGTGGGCACGCCGTCGGTTTGAGGTACTCCATAGAGCACGCCTTTGGAATGAAGCCTTCGGACACTATGCTTTGCGCCTCTGATCTAGGGTGCGTGCATGCTCGAACACCTTGCTCTGCCGAGTGCGCAATGACCTAATGAACCCAACTTGCACGGGGACAGCTGGGTGGTCGGTCATAGTTACATTCTGTACGCTCCACTCTTCCTCGGCGCTTCCACGTGCATTTTTGAGGGCAAGCCCGTCACGCCTGACGCAGGGATTTTGTGGCGGACGATCTCTGCGCTGGGTGTCACACATCTCTTCACGGCGCCCACAGCTCTGCGAGCCGTGCGCGGTCAAGACCCTTCTGGTCAAATGATGCGTTCACCAAGCATCAATCTTCGCACTCTACGGGCGCTTTTCTTGGCGGGCGAACGATCAGAACCGACCCTAGTCTCGTTTTACCGAGACCAGTTGCGACAGATTGCTGCTCCGGGCTTCGAGACGAACGATAATTATTGGCAAACGGAATCGGGGTCTCCAATCACCGCTCTGATGCTGGGCGGTGCTTGGCACAACTTGCCCTGCATCCCAGGCTCTGCAGGCTTGGCTCAGCCTGGCGTGGACGTTCGCATCGTCGACGATGCTGGCAACGAAGTTCGCGAAGCGGGAAAGATGGGCAACCTGGTCGTTGCTCCTCCCCTGTCGCCCACCTTTCTGGGTGGTTTGTGGAATAACCAGGCTGGTTTCCACGATGCTTATTGGAGCCGTTTCCAGAAACAGGGATGGTTCGATACGGGAGATGCGGCCGTCAAGGATGAAGAGGGATACATTACTATCTTGGCTAGGTCTGACGACATCATACAGGTCGCCGGTCATCGTCTGGGCACGGGCTTGCTGGAACAAGTCCTCACTTCTCATCCCGACGTTCTCGAGGTGAGTCGGCGGACTGGGCACGAGGTTCTGGATCTCAATGTCAAGCGCTGATTCGTGCATCGCCTTCCTCTCCGCAGTGCTGCGTTGTGGGAGCACCGGAAAAGACAAAAGGAACAGTTCCATTCGCCCTCGTCGTCGCTCGTTCGGACCGGAAAGAGCAAGACGTTGAAGCGATACTCAAAAATGTCAACGAGCACCTTCGAGCAGAGGTTGGTCCCATAGCACGTGAGTCGCCATCGCCTTGTTTTCCCAAGCAGCCTTGGTTGTGCGCCAACTGACGCTAGCAACCGTGACACGATATCAGAGCTTGGCGCGCTCGTCCTCACTTCTGCTCTGCCAAAGACGCGCTCGGGCAAGACGCTTCGAAAGGTAGTCAGGGTCGTCACGGAGCAGGCAGCAGAGGGCAAGAGCAGCACGGATATCAGTCGACTTCCGGTTCCGCCCACCATCGAGAGCATCGACGCGGTGCACAAGGCAGTCGAAGCGATCGAGAAGCACTTTGCGATTCGCACCAGATTGTAGAGCGTGCAGCGTCGCTAAATACATGGGATTGCTATGCATTGCTGCTATGCAACAGGCTCCCAGTGGACAGCAGCCCGAGGATTGATTCGGTCAGACGGGAGGGCCGGGCAAAAAGGCCAACCTCTTCAGCAGGTCCTCTGCTTCTGCAGTGTGCTCAGTATTGGCTGCGATGACCCTTGTCAAGTACTCGTTGGCAAGGGCCGGATTCGCTTCCTTTTGTGGTATCGCGGCGTCTGGAATTTGGTGTGGGAAATCTTGACTATCTAGGTCCATAGCCGACGTATCCTTGTCTCTTTGGGCGCCCGCTCGTGCGATTTGAGAGTTCTTGATGTCTCGCAACGCATTTGGGTTCAATAGAGCTTCTCTCTCCTTGCGTTTCTGATTCTCCGAAGCAATGTCTCCCATTTCCCACCGCGCCGCCACAACATAGCTGGCGACGTACCTCTCGAAAGGTAAAGGATCCGCACTCTCTCTGGCTCCTTCTACCAGCTCCACAATGCGTTTGTGCCACGTTGCTGCAGCAAGGATATCGCCTGCCGCTTCATAAAGCGTAATGATGCACTCGATGTGGCTGATCTGGTCAACGGTCGCCATGCTTGCAGAGCCGACGCTGAGTGCTCGCTTGTAGCACGATATGGCATGCTGGGATCTGCGTCAAATCAACTGAAGGTGCTCAGCTGAGTGCGGGCGCGCCGAGCCTTTTTGTATATTTCGGACTAACCTGCCAAGTTTTTCGTAGCAATTGGCTTGCGCGATCCAGAGGGATGGAAGAAACGGGCTGCCAGCGGAAAGGATTGCTTGTCAGCCGAGTACGATCGGGCTCAGTGCACGCCCTCCACCCACTTTAAAGCGCAGGCTTTTTGGAAATGATGCAAACAGTAGTGTGGCGCCTCGTTGAGCTCGTAGGCATAGCCAAGGCCGTACCAAGCTCGATGGTCATGTGGCGCAATGTCTGTGTACCCAGGAGATGAATCAACGTGGCGCATCGTCGCGGGAATGCTGTGGTATACTTACCAATCGCCCGTCGATACATTTCCGTCGCAGCTTGAGCATTCCGCAACTCAATATATGCGTGACCAAGCAGCACCCAAGCGTTGACGCAAGAGGGATCGAGCCGAAGTGCTCTCTGCAGGGCCTGCACAGATCGATGATGGTTGCCACGAGAGGTGTGGTAGTTGGCTGCAGTTCAAGGCAATGAAACGAGTGAGCAGATGCTCACGATCAAAGCCCGCCCGGGCGACTCACCGAGAGCACAGCATATCTCTGCACTGTCGCGTCCGCTCTCAATCAGCGAGTTGGTGAGGTGAGCGAGCTCTTCATACTTGTTCAACACGAAGAGCAGATTAGAGTAGCCACCCAAGCCTTCGTTGCAGTAGGGATCAATCTGCCGGGCCTGTTTCCACAGCACCTCTGCTGCAGCATACTCTGCGAAGGGTCCGATGCGAGAAGTGAGTCGCCGCACCTCGAGATCTCTCACCTCCTCTAGCTTCTCACCTTCCAGCACGTAGTGCGAATGCGCTTTGCAGCTCATGACGTACGGGCTGCCGGGAAATAATCGCAGTAGCGCTTCGCAGCGTTGCGGATCGTTCGTGCTGCGATGAATTCTGGCAATGTGGCGGCTGTGATGGCTCACAAAAAACGCAGTCATGAAGGAATCTGGCAAGAGATCGGCGATTTCTCCAAGCTGCGGTGCACACGGACCTCATACTTAGGACAAGCGACGCACGGTCTCGAATGCGGACAACTCACCTCATCGCTTTCAGGATTAAGTGCAGAACTGATCTCCAACCATGAAGACCAACAGTATGGAAACTCTGCCACACTGCGCACAAAACAGTCCAGGGCTTCGATGCGCTTTCCAAACTTTTGAAGCAGAATTCCTTTCCTGAATCATTTTGCGGGGCAAAGGCAACTCACGTTAGCGAAGGATGCCAAAATCTCATCGGGGCTCTGCTGACCGCACGTACAAGTACAGCAGGAAAGCATCGCTTGGATCGATGAGCTCGCGCAGAATGTTTAGCAAGCTGTCTGCTGTTTCTGCGCTTATGCCCTTGTTTGAAGCGACTGCAGTGCACCTTACTCGTCAGCTTTCTGCCTATCAGCTTCCCATTTGCATTACTCTCACCTGGGATGATAGCTGCTTCAGTGTCCAGATGTCGCTCAGCGAGCTGTGCAGCGCGGTCTTGTCAATATTGAGCACGCCCTGGCCCTCGCCGCCAACACCCACCAAGAAGCTGGCGTACAGCCGCAGAAATTTCGCCTTGTCACCCGGCACCTTTCTGCTCTCGAGGACCCAGGCACACCTCTCCAGCTGATGGGAGCCGAACAGACTTCTCGCAAAAGCGTAATTGTCCGCATCGTAGTCGTCCATCACATCAGCGCTGCTCCAGCGCTCCAGCGAGTCTGCATCGACGCTAGATAATCTCGAAGTGTCTTGGGAAGAGGCAAAGTGGACATGAGCGCTGCCCTGGTCTGATGGAGAGTACGGCCTGGCCAATGGAGATGGAGGCAGACGAAAGGATGCGAAGCGTCCGCTCTCATCTGCGCCTTTTGCAGGTGATGCCGCAGCGTTGCTAGCCTGACTGGGCGTCAGGAGATGCGTGGACGAGCTGGCCAGATTGTTGCCTCCCAGAGCGGGTGTCGAATGCACAGGAAAGGCAGAGCGCGTGTATCTGGCCGGGGTGGAGCTTGGCGCCCCTCGACGGGTCGTGCCAGCAGCTCTTGCGGTCGTCGATGGCGCATCACCAGCATCTTGCGGCTCGTCGAAGTGCAAGTCTTGCGATCTAGGCACATGTGCAAGGAGTTCCTGAGCCCTGTAGTCTCAGCGTCGCGCCGGTAGAAGCCATCAGCACGTGTACGTGAGCGAATAGCAAGATGTTACAACGCACCAAGAGGCAGCAGAAAGCAGAGAACGATCTTCCAGCTCTCTCACTGCCGCCCTGAGACTCGCTCGAGCCCGGCTAGGGCCGCTGTCCGGAAAAGAGGAGCGCAAGCCGAAGATATGACTGCCCGTCTGCTCCTCTTTGTCGCTCACGTCGGATCGCTCGAAGCCTGATCCATCGCTGAGGTTTGCCTTTAGCATCACGACGTTGACTGACGTACGGCACGAGCTCCCCTACCTGAATCTCAAGACTCAAACCTCAAGTGGTTGCGCCGTTATGTTGTCAGTTGTGACGCTGCAGGTGTTGGTCGTTGGTGGAGAACATCGGCAGCACGTCACCCTGGCGCGTGGTGTCGCACCTGCGCGCCATGCACACACGTGTGTCACGCGGCCATCACTCACGACTCTGTCGGGGTGAGCGAAGACAGCAAAGGACGCTTGTGACACTCTGACAAATCTCGAGGTCTCTGCTTACGACGCGTGTCTTTCTCAACACACATTCGTATTATGACACCATACGTGACCGCACACTACATTCTGGCATCTCCTTCGCGAGCAGTCTTACTAGCTGGCATGACTTGTCAATGCGCACCCTTCGCGAGTGACCACGTCAACGCTCGTTTCAATCGCTCTTGAGCACAAGCGCAAAAGTCTGGACTTGACGGGACTCATGCATTTTCAAAAGGAGGGGTCGATCACCTGTGCAAAGAGCGCTCGCTGCTTTGCTCTAACATGTTACGTGACGACGTCTCTCTTACTTGGCGAAGCCCTCAACGTGAGCCTTGATGAAGGAGGTCAATTCCGCAGTGAGCTCCTTGGAGGGTTTGCCCTCGGCGACCTTGGCCAGCAAGCTGGAGCCGCTGCCCTTGAGGTGCTCGAGGAAGCTTTCCTCCCAAGCCGTGATCTTGTCGGTTGGGATCGAGTCGAGGAGACCAGAGGTGCCTGCGAAGATGAGGGGAATCTGAATCTCGGTGGCCATGGGAACGAATTGGGGCTGCTTGAGCAGCTCGACGAGACGACCTCCACGGTCCAGGGTACGACGAGAAGCAGGGTCCAAGTCGGATCCGAATTGGGCGAAGGCAGCAAGCTCACGGTATTGAGCAAGCGACAGCTTCAAGCTACCAGCGACGGACTTGTAGAGCTTGGTCTGGGCAGCAGATCCGACGCGAGATACGGACAGACCGACGTTGACGGCGGGACGGATACCCTTGAAGAAGAGTTCGGACTCCAGGAAGATCTGACCGTCGGTAATCGAAATGACGTTGGTGGGAATGAAAGCGGATACGTCACCACCCTGAGTCTCGATGACAGGCAGAGCAGTCAGAGATCCACCACCGTGCTTCTCGTTCATCTTGGCAGCACGTTCGAGGAGACGAGAGTGCAGGTAGAAGACGTCACCGGGGTAGGCCTCACGTCCAGGAGGACGACGGAGCAGCAAGGACATTTGACGGTAGGCGACGGCCTGCTTGGACAAGTCATCGTAGATGATCAGAGCGTGGCGACCATTGTCGCGGAACCACTCTCCAATAGCGCAACCAGAGAAGGGAGCGAGGTATTGCAAGGGAGCAGCCTCAGAAGCAGTGGCGGCGACGATGATGGTGTACTTCATGGCATCGTTGGCCTCGAGAGTCTTGACCAGCTGAGCAACAGTGGAACGCTTTTGTCCGACAGCGACGTAAACACAGTACAGCTTCTGAGACTCGTCCTTTCCGTCGTTCCATCGCTTTTGGTTGAGGATGGTGTCGATAGCGATGGCGGTCTTGCCGGTTTGACGGTCACCAATGATCAGCTCACGCTGTCCACGGCCGATAGGAACCATGGCGTCGATGGGCTTGATACCGGTCTGCATGGGCTGGTTGACGGAACGACGGGGCAGAATGCCAGGTGCCTTGAGCGAGGCACGGCGACGCTCAGCGGCCTCGATGGGGCCCTTGCCATCGATCGGGTTACCGAGGGCGTCGACGACACGGCCCAGCATGTTCGGACCGACGGGAACGTCGACGATGGAACCGGTACGCTTGACTGTGTCACCTTCACGGATGGCACGGTCAGATCCAAAGATGGAGACACCGACGTTGTCGGCTTCCAAGTTGAGGGCCATTCCACGGACACCAGAGCTGAACTCCACCATTTCGTCGGCCATGACGTTGCGGAGACCGTAGACACGAGCAATACCATCACCGATGGCTAGAGAGGAGAAGCGTTGCACATGTCAGCAGCGGCTCGCAAGCTGCGTCAAGCTCTTTTTGCACGCGGCGGCTCGTAGTATCCAAGCGGCGTTGAGCCGGGTCATCACCCGCGTACGAGTTGACAAGTGCGCATCGCACTCTTAGCGCAAGTCACACGCCTGAGCAAATGCTCGCGCCCTTGGCAAGCAATATTGAGCCGATCTGCCCTGCCATCCGCCCGCCCTGCTACGACGCCCAATACAAGCGCGTCGTTGACACGCTCGAGAGTGCGAATGTACTCACTCAGCACACGGCCGGTCTCTTGAACATCACCACCGGAAGATGCGCCAGAGATGCGCTGCTCAAGGATGCTGCTGACTTCAGCGGCAGCTGCAAGGCAAGAAACGAAGCAGACACTGGTAAGCACAAGACCCGAAATGTGGACGCATCTACGACTACTCACCAGGCTTGGCCGTCGCGTAAGTGCGAACAGCCGAGGCGACGGAAGGGGCCGCAACGCGAGCCTGAGAGGCGACAAGTCAGCGTGTTCATCAGCACACTGGATTGGCAGGTAAAGGCGGACGACGGAATGGTCGCTTGAGGCCTGTCCGAAGCTGAGCAGATCCCTCTGATCGGCTTCCTCGTCGATCTCACTCGAACGAGGCCATTCTGTCCGCTGTTTTTCATACGACCTCCCTACTCACAGCTGGTGCGGCAGCGCGTGCCAAGTTGGCAGCGGCGAGTCCTGCAGGTCGAGCGAGCATATTGCAGGTGATTCAAGGGGTCTGTGATGAGAAGAGTGAAGAAGACCTAACCGGAGTGGTGGATTGTGTGAGGAAGAGACGGGGTAGTCTTGAGTTGCTAGCGATCCTGCTCGGTCTGCTCTGAGCGCGCGCGCGCGACGAAGAACCGCTTGCGCGGGCGGACGGGCGGGCGGGCGCGAGAGCACGGGCGCGGCCTTCACAGCCGTCGAGTGCGTGTGCCGTTCGCGCGCGCTGTTGCTGCTGCTGCTGCAACCGTGCGCGCGTGGTCTTCTTCGCTGGCGTGATGCCATGGCACCTACGCGGTTGCACAACCGGGCTTTCTGCAGGCGGGCATGTTCGGAGTGCGGGTGCTAGACGAGGCTCGCCAGGAGGAGGCCACGTGTACGAATACAGGGCGATCAAAGTTCTTGAAATCAGATCTTGGCAAGAATCTTCTCGGCCGAGCGAGACTCGCAAGTCGAAAAATTATTGAAGACCGCACACACCGCAATATCGTACCCCGATCGCAAAGACGACTCGACCTCTGGCTACGTCACTACCTCAAACACCCTTTGACAGTCTGCAATTCCTTCTACCATAGACAGGCAAGATGAGAATCAATCACTGCTTCTTCTGCTCGAGCCCGGTCTACCCGGGCAACGGCATCATGTTCGTTCGAAACGATGCCAAGCAACTCATCTTCTGCAGGTCCAAGTGCCACAAGAACTTCAAGATGAAGAGGAATCCCAGGAAAGTCAAATGGACCAAGGCTTTCAGAAAGGCTGCAGGAAAGGAGATGACGGTGGTGAGTGTCTTGATTCCGGGCTACTGGCGACGACAGGATTCATCTACCAGCGCCTGCATCGCCAAGGGAGGGTGACGGTGCACGATGACTCCTCTTACCCGTGCTGACATTCCACCCCTTTTCTCTTTCCACGCCACTCAAAGGACTCGACGCTGGAGTTTGAAAAGCGTCGCAACGTCCCAGTGCGGTACTCGCGCGAGCTGGTGCAACAAACTCTAAAGGCGATGGAGCGCATCGCCGAAATCCGAGCCAGGCGAGAGAATGCCTTTTACAAGGCGCGCATGCTCAAGGCCAAAGGAGGCGCAGCTGCTCGTCAAGAGAAGGACCGTTTGGAGGTGCACAAGAATAGGCATTTGCAAGGTGCCCTCGGAGCGGACAGGAAACGCTTGGCCGCGCAAAAGGAAAAGTTGGAGAGGATCCAGGTGCAGAACAAGGCCAGAAACGCGGCCAAGAAGAGCGCTTTGACACAGGGAAGCGGCCAGGCCATGTGAGTTGCCCCAATGGTGATCACAATGAATGTCCAAGCTGACTGTTCTCCGCATCGCAGGACTATGCAGGTCGATTAAACTCGAGCATGCAAGCGTCTCGGCAACTCGTCACCGTGTTCAAGATTCTTTGTACTTGTATCCATTCACGACTTTTCACCAAATGCACTCTCCGCGCTTCATGACTTTTCAGCAAATGCATTCTCGTTGCTGGACATTGGTGGCAGGCAAAGGTGAGCGCAAGCTCAGTACATAATGTAGCAAATGTCGAGGGTGACAAAGCCGATGGCGAGGGATATCCAAAAGAAGGCGTTGCCGAGGGTAGGTCTCTGTTTGACCCAGGGTATCTGGCTGATGGCGATCAGAGGAATCTGCGCCATCTGCATGGCAAAGAGGTAGCCACGTATCTTGCCGCTGACGATGGCCATGACGAGCTCGTGAAGGAGTGCAGAGAGCAAAAAGGTCAGGAATAGAGCCAACTGTTTGCTTACGCCCGCAGTTATCGAGTGGGCGTATACATGCCGGAGGAGAAAGGTGTGCACGGGCTTGTTCCACTTGCGACTGAACTCATCCATGCTTCGACTGTTCCACCAGTCCAAGTAGAATTCTCGATCAGCGAATCGCGTCGCTTCGCCAGCGAACGCGAGGGCGCATTCAAACATGACAAAGAAGATGAGAAGGTAGTTGACGAGCATGGGCACGGCCAAGGCGAAAAAGGTCTTGGCGAGCGAGGTTCCTGCTGCAGGTTGATGGGGCATGATCCAGTGTTCTGTGATGACGTAGATGACGCAAAACGTGCCCACGCCTGCTAGAGCCTTTTCTAGCAGGTAGGAGGGGCGAATGCTGCGATGCGACGCACATCGAGTCGGGAGTGGTCAGCCTTTGTGCGTATGCCGCGCTGCATGAAATATCACTCACGTTTTGACACGAGGATAGGAGAGCTCGTACACCAGCGTGGGACAGCAGAGATAGTCGAAAAAGTTGCGAAAGGTCACGTTCTGCGGCCAAGAGACATGCTCGCCAGACTCGTCAGGATCGCTAGACAGCAGCTCCTCGCGCAACTCTTCAATGTCTTTGGCAAGCTTGCTGACAACCGGGTCAGGGTGGAACGCAAGGGGGTGAGGATCCCTCACAGTGGTTGTGTCTCCTGCTGCGCCGCCTTTGGTGCCGACAGGTGCTTGCGACGAGTGAGGACCGGGACTCGTTGGGCCGCTGGTTGTTCGCCTCTTGAGCACGCTGGCATTGTTTCTATGCCTGAGCCTCGAAGAGCCCCGCTGAGCCTCCAGACTTGCCCAGACATTCTCGTCTGCTGCAGAGAGCGACGCAGACGTTGCAGCCGAGTCCTCCACTCTCTCCGCTTTGATGCCATTGGCGCCGGATCCATTTGTACCCGCTTGGTATTTCGAGGCCTCCGAAAGCGCGACATTCCACGCTTCTTGCGAGATGCGAGTGCTTTCATGCGGCGCAGCATCTTTGGCAATCTCAGCAACTCTCTCTTCCAGCTGACGTTCCACTCGACGCATCTTGCAGAAGGAGTCGGCCATGGCGCCATTGACGGCGCAGTAGGAATGCACCTTCATCATCATGCTGAGCGTGTGGAGCGTCATGAAGCCCGATTGAACCCATGGCCAGTCCCGATACTGGGTCCACTTGATAACCCCGCCCAGGAGCACGCTCTGCCAGGCGTGTTGGAGCCAGATCAAAGAAGGCCAGTAGCTGAACCAACCTCGCTTGAGCATGATTGCAAAAGGGACGCATATGAAGGTGCTTCCGACCAGAGCTGCATCGCTCAGGACTAGCACACCCGCATCTTTGCTGAAAAGAGTCGCGAAAGCCAAGGAGATGAATTGTCCAGTGGATGCCCAAGAGGTGTAGAACGTGTCCAGCATGAGCAGGAAGAGTGAGATCCAGAAGAGCACATAGAAGCCGCGGAAGCTGTTGCGAGCGGAAGTTGAAGGATCAGGGCCTCATCGGCATGGGGGTGGAAAAGCTGATGATCTGCCTACTCACGGATCTCCTGCCGACTCGGCGTTGTACCGGTCAAACTTGGATTCACGAGGGACAAAGGTGACCAAAGCGCGAATCTTTTTGCCTCGCTTTTTGTTGCGGGACGACGCCGCTTCCTGCGGTTTCAGCACAATCGAACCATCCTTGCCGACTTCGTGCTTGACGTCTGTCGTGGGAGTGAAAGGGTGCGCGTCAGCGTGTGCAGCCAGGCAGGTATGCGTGGGGCTGCCGCATGCTGAGACGCAACACCCCCCTCTTTGCAACTCGACGAGCACTTACCTGAAGCGTTGAGGTGCGTGACTTGGGTGGTGTGGCTCTGAGACAGCCTTTCCTCTTTCACAGCATCTGCCTCGCCCGCCTGCGTGCCAGGACGCACCACTTCTGTAGTGACAGTCGTGCTAATCTCTGCCGGAGGTTCCCCAGTGCTGATGGTGCTCGCAGTAGCAGCACTGGCGGCCGCAGAGATCGTCGAGTCCGAACGATCCTGCAATTCAGGCCTTGCTGCCGTTTCTGCCGATGTATGCGTATTGGTCGATTCCAAAGTTTCGGATGCGCTTGACCCATTTACCAGAACTTTTGGAACTTTGACCGATGCTTTGTCGCCGTCGGCTTGTGACTGTGACTGCGAGTGTGACGGCGTGAGAGGTTGAATGTTCTCTTTCGTGTCGGGCTCGGGCGTGAGTCCTGTCCGAGAAGCACGCCTGTGCGAACCGGACAGCCTGTTTCGCAGCTTGTTGCCCAGAGTCGACATTGTAGAAATGCTTTGCAGAGGAGGGCGGTGGGTGTCTGGAGCGGTCTGCAGCCACGACACACTAATTGTGTATGGGCTGCACCTGAACAAAATAAAATAGGATTGACAGACGGACGGCGTCTGGCAGAAGCGGAAGTCGATGTTCCGAGCTAATCAATCTAGCTCGGGTGTTGGCCGCTGGAAAGAGGTGCTGGGCGGGTGGCGTGGGGAGTGCGGCCCGATGTCTGCTGTGGCAGCTTAGCTTGCCATTGATGGTTGCGTGGTCTTGTTGGGCGCTGAGGTGTGCTCGAGGATGCTCAGTGATGTGAATAGAAGCTTGCGAGGCAAGGGCGTGCTGGCT